CATCGAAATAAATTAATGATGAAAAATTTCACATGATATTGGTTTGGTTACATGCATTAGATAATATATATTTTTTGTCGTCTAGATATACATTAATTACATACTAAATAGATATAAACATACATATTACTTTGAAAACCTTCTAAGTTTAATTACAACTTATGACTCAAACTTCGATAATACCCTTATTATACGGCACGGCAATCTCATTTTTTCGTGGTTTGACAAAGTAATTTGACTTAAAAATTCAAAAAAAAAAAAGCCTTTTGTTGACCAGTCGCCAAATATTATTTTCTTATTTTCAACGTTTGACGAATATCGTCGATATAAGAATATAATCATGATAATTTTTGCAGGATTTGTTGAATAACATAACCAACACTGCATTTGCAAATATTATTGTGACATCTTTGATATCAAATTATTTTTTTATGAAAGGGACTGAAAGTTTACAAGAAAGTAGCAAAACTAGATTTGGCTTAGATCTTTTGGTACATATATTATGTGTCACCATCCGAATCATTTTGACAAAAAAAAAACTCTTCTATAGGTTTTATGATTTTATCTATTTATGATATTTAGTTAATTTCCAGATAAAAGAATATTCTAAAACATGAGTTAGTTTTCAAAATACATAATTTTGGAATATCTTAAGAAATTTCCTCAAAATGTTAAATTTTGGAATATTTCAAGAAATTTCCTCGAAATGTTAAAATACAACTACAATACACGTGACATTAATTGCATCGACTTTAATTTTAGTAACAGAACATAACTAACTTATAAACTGTAATGATAATTAAAAATAATGTATATATTCATTCATCTCAATTGTCCGTTTTATTTTTATAACATGGTCAAATTTAGACAACTAGGTAGCTAATTCTGATTAAACTAACCTCAGTGTATTATTGTTTTCTAAGTAAACAAAAGTACAATCCAATTCAATATTACTACATTATCATATGCAGCTAAACTGAATCTAATAAAAAATGATGGTTCTTATTCATAACTACAAAAGGTCATTCTCAAAACTTCTTTATATTATATACCAATTAGTAAGACTTAAGACTTTGATATTCTAATACGAGTTGTTAAAAAGAAAGATTACGTTGAATTTCAAAAACTATAGCTAGTTAGTATATTATTTTTCTAAGTAAACAAAAATACAATCAAAATTATAACTACTTGATCATAATTGAACTGTTTAAACATGAATAACGAAAAGACCAAAATGCAAAGACTAGTTGTCAAAAAAGACTGGACTAGATAAAGTTGCCGAAAACTAACTAGGTATTTTTTTTTTTTTTTTTTGAAACCTTAATTACTATTGTATTATTACTTTTCAACGTATTCAAAGATGCAATTACACGACCTAATTATATGTCGCTAAATACGGGCTACATTCATGCTTGTTGACAAAAACGATGAGTTCCAATAAACCCTATAAATAGCATGCAGAAGATGAGTTAAAAATCACCAATCAAACAAAATTTCATACATGAGCAATATTCAAGAAATGGAAACGATATTGATGGTCTCTTTGTGCTTAACGAGCCTCTTAACCCTTTTCTTGTTTAAACAATTCCTCAAACGAACCGCCATAAAAGTGAACTTACCACCATCTCCATGGCGACTTCCGGTGATTGGAAACCTCCACCAGCTCAGCCTCCACCCTCACCGTTCCCTCCATTCCCTCAGCCTCCGGTATGGACCACTCATGCTGCTTCATTTTGGCCGTGTCCCCATACTCGTAGTATCCTCCGGCGAAGCAGCTCAAGAGGTATTGAAAACACACGATCTTAAGTTTGCCAACCGCCCGAGATCAAAAGCCGTTCATGGGCTTATGAATGGTGGGCGTGATGTGGTGTTTGGTCCCTATGGAGAATATTGGAGACAGATGAAGGTATTTCATTACTAGCACTCTTTAGTTCCTAGCCTCTTTAACTTATTGTTTAAATATATATATTATCTTCTTATAATTTTGACGTCGAAAACTTGCACCCATGCATGAACTAACAAATTCTAATATATATATATATTTGGTAAAATACAAATTCTAATATTTATGTATATCCTTTAATCAACTAACAATGTTTTTTACTCTGGTTTTGGATGAAGAGTGTATGCATTCTCAATCTGCTCACCAACAAAATGGTTGCGTCCTTTGAGAAGATAAGAGAAGAAGAGGTAAATGCAATGATTGAGAAGCTGGAGAAAGCAAGTTCTTCTTCTTCATCAGAAAATCTGAGCGAACTCTTTGTTACTCTACCAAGCGATGTTACCAGTAGAGTTGCCTTGGGAAGAAAACATAGCGAGGATGAAACCGCAAGGGATCTCAAGAAGCGAGTGAGGCAGATTATGGAGCTTTTAGGCGAGTTCCCAATCGGGGACTATGTCCCGGTTTTGGCATGGATAGACAGGATCAACGGTTTCAATGCTAGAATTAAGGAAGTAAGTCAAGGATTTAGCGATCTTATGGACAAAGTGGTGCAAGAACATTTAGAGGCAGGTAATCATAAAGAGGATTTCGTCGATATACTGTTATCAATCGAAAGCGAGAAGAGTATTGGATTCCAAGCTCAAAGAAACGACATCAAATTCATGATATTGGTAGGATCATTTATAAGGCAATTCATTAATAACTATAGTAACAAATGCAAAAAAATTAGTTTGACTAATGATATATGTAAATTTTTCTACTTTATATCAGGATATGTTTATAGGAGGGACATCAACAAGTTCAACTCTACTAGAATGGATAATGACGGAGCTGATCAGAAATCCAAATGTTATGAAGAAACTCCAAGACGAGATTCGGTCAACCATTAGGCCACATGGTTCATACATAAAAGAAAAAGAAGTTGAAAATATGAAATACTTAAAAGCCGTGATTAAAGAGGTGTTTCGGTTGCATCCTCCTCTTCCATTAATACTTCCTAGACTATTAACTGAAGATGTCAAAGTAAAGGGATATAACATAGCCGCAGGGACAGAGGTAAACTAATTTCTATCAAATTAAATTCTTATATGCAAAGAAACACCACAAATAGTTTTTTTAACTTTTTTTAATCACGGTTGATTATCATTTGCAAAAGAAATATTTTCTTAACCTAACAGTTAACTCGTTTATACATAACTTTATATATTTGTCTTAAGTCATGGTTATAAACTAAAAAAAAATGTTTCCCAAATTTTGTTGTTAAAAACATGGTGTACATTAGCTCTAAATTATAACAATAATTGACCATCTTATTCCTAGCTATACATAAAACAAATGATTTGGCTAAACTTGTAATGGAAACATGTCCAGGTCATAATCAATGCTTGGGCAATCCAAAGAGACCCCGCGATATGGGGACCGGATGCCGAAGAATTCAAACCAGAGAGACACTTAGATTCAACTTTGGATTATCATGGAAAGGATTTGAACTTCATCCCATTCGGATCAGGTAGAAGGATTTGTCCCGGGATAAATCTAGCTTTGGGATTGGTAGAGGTTACAGTGGCCAACCTTGTAGGCCGATTTGACTGGAGGGTCGAGGCTGGACCAAATGGGGATCAACCTGATCTAGCTGAAGCCGCCGGTCTCGATGTTTGCCGCAAGTTCCCTCTCATTGCATTTCCATCTTCAGTTATATAAATGTTTCGTTTTATGTTTTTACCTTGTATTCAATTTATTAATAAGAAGAGTTGTAAGAAATAAATAATCCTTCAATTTAGAAAATAAGCATATCCTACAATTAATAACTTTTTTTAGACGTGCCTCACTTAGAGATTTGTTTATAGAACAAAATCTATTAATGAATAAAACATATCATTATGGAATTACAAAATCATTTTCATAAATAATTATGCAACTTTCATAAATATGGCAGAATTTCTTATATGCCATCTTTGGTTATAAAAGATATATCAAATAAAACACATCAATGAAATAAACATTGTACTTTCTAATCACGAAAAAAACAAAAACAAAAAGTCCACAAGTAAATTATAAGGTTTGAAAGGCACGTAATAATAAACTATTTAATGGAATGAACAAAAGTCCGTCCACATGAGGGTTTTAAGATTGCGGAAAGTGAAGCAACAACTTGGAAAATCCACAGGTGCAAGAATTGACAATCGAAAACGTTGAACAATGCTCCATTGTATACAAGACCTAGATCAGTCCCGGTCCAATATATTTAAGAGTTTTAGAGCAAAATAATTTTATTTTCACTTATTATTATATAAAAAGTAAAATTTGCTGTATTTTTAAAAAATATTTGGACCTTTTATATATGTAAATTTTAAGAAAAAAACAAGCTTCGGGTTGTCGAACTTCTGCCCTACCCCTCTAAGCCAGGGCTGACCTAGATGTTTCATGGCTACAAGTGTTTTATAAAGTGGTGCATGGAAGGAGACTGATATTTCTCAGGTTTATAGGTTGAGTTTATACTCATGAATGATCATATGGATGGATCTCTTATTAGAGCTAGAAACCTTCGCAAATTACTTTCCTTTTCCGTGTGGAGTTGGAAAAACTATAGTGGGTCATGATGTGTATTAACTATTATAGAGGAAAACAATATGTTTCCTAATAGAATGCATATAAAACTCAAGGAAATGACGACTTCTCTAGTTGAGTCATGAGTGGCCATCTTTTCCAACATAAAGTTTGTTGAAAAAACCGACATGGAACACTTGTTCAAGACTTCTCTAGTTAAGATCTGGTATTGTCAGTTTGAATTACCGAACCATTTTTATTATAAAATTCTGTTGACAAAAAAGAGTTTCTATTAATTTTAAAATCCGTTACCAAAATAATTGTTTAAACTAATAAACATTAAACCATCATGTTGTACGTGATTTGTTACACTATGTACGATTGCTGTTTGACCTATTCATTCACTTTTTCATTTTTTAGTGTCGTCCATTTTGATTAGCTAGATCTTTCATCCATAACTAAACTTGAACCAGAAGGAACAAAAAGAAAAGAAAATACGACAACAATTTACATGGACACATAATTTTTATTATTTTGCAGCTTCAGAGAGAGCTAACGACAGATCTTAAATGGTAGAATCAAAATCTCTTAAAAGAGTTTGTCAATGTAGTCGGACAAAAATATTCAAATGATTCCTTTACATAGAAAGGGAAAACGAAAGAACACCAAATGCAAAACATCTTTGTTCTCCACGCCAATCAAGTAAAAAGCTTGTTTCCACAATACATCACATAACAAAGGCGAAATACTCACTACTCTTCTTTCACACCAAAATCAAAATGCCAACTAATAATAAGATCATATCTATGTTTTTCCCAAATCAGAGTAAAATTCTCACTGGTATGAACAAAGAACCCAACTCTGTTGCACAAAGAAGATATCGGGTGGTATTTAAAAGGCGCACAAACTCAGGATTCCGGTACTGGGGCTGGTGCTGGTGGTTTGAGAAGTGGCTGCAAAGCTTTTACAACTATACTCATGTTGGGTCTAAACTCAGATTCGTATTGTACACACAATGCTGCCACCGCTGCTAGCTGCATTGCCACATTACAGATTCATAAATTTCAGATCATATTTGAGATTAAAAAGACCAAAGACATGTTATTGTTTCTATGCATTGAGTAATTATCGCAATTGTTCATTGATGAAATTGTGTACCTTAGCTACTGATTTAGGAGGATATTCTCCTTTTAGCTTTGGGTCAACACACTGCTTCACTTTATCTTCACTGAGTCTTGGTGTAGCCTGAATAATAGACAGCAAACTTCAACTCGTAAGACGAGAGATAGAAACAGAGCAGGATACAGATTTGGACAGGGCGCAGATAACAAACATACCCAGGTTACAAGACTTTGTTGGCCACGTGGCATTGTATGATCTACAGGTTTCCTCCCTGTCAAAAGCTCTAGAAGAACAACCCCAAAGCTGTACACGTCACTCTTCTGCGTCAACTGTCCGGTCATAGCATATCTGCAAATGGAAAGAAACATTTTAGCTGACTTGTTCATACCTTCATTTGGATGCAACAAAACTTTTAAGGTTTTAAGGAAGATTACTCTGGAGCGTGATAGCCAAAGGTGCCCAAGACTCTTGTAGAGTGAAGACGAGCAGCATTATCAGGAGCTTGATTTGAGAGATTGAAATCAGCAACTTTTGCTTGATAGTCTTCAAAAAGAAGCACATTGCTAGATCTTATGTCTCTATGTATCACAGGAGGCTGAACCTTCTCATGAAGGTATTCTAAACCCCTAGCTGCCTCAACTGCTATCTTCACCCTTGTTAACCAGTCAAGTGTTGGACCTGGCTGTGCACCTTGAACTCCCTTCCTACCTGTAATGGTAACACATTACATCGAGAAATTGATTCTTTTTTCTATATTTTTTCCCAAGCAATGAAATTTTCTAACAAGAATGGGCATGGAAGCTCATCATACCATGGAGAATGTCGTGCAGTGATCCCATCGTTGCAAACTCATAAGCGAGAACACGAAGGTTTTCATCAACACAATAACCTACCAGTTGAATGAGATTCTCATGCTTCAATCTTGAAACCATGGAAACCTAAGAAGAAGGAAGCAAGAGGACGTAAAGAAAAGTTTCCAGAAGATAAAGGACGGAAAAGAAGGGAAGGGGATTCAAAGCAAAATATATAACCTGACTCAAGAACTCAGAATTTGTTTCAGCTTCAGGGGCAACATCGAGTTTCTTCAAAGCCACTGCTTTCCCATCATTTAGAGTTGCATAATATACCCTACCATAAGATCCCTCACCAATCAGAGACTTTGATCCAAAATTGTCAGTCTTTTCTTTAACCTCGTCAACAGACAAGGGTGGAACTTCGATGGGAAGAGCTTCCTTCTGCGCCTCAGGCTTTGCAACAGCTTGTGGTTTTGGATTCTTTTGATTTGCTACATACGTACCAAGCAAATAATGTATTAACATCAAAGTTTTCAAGTTCCCTTCTTCAAAACAGTCAAATACTAATCCTTATGTGGGAAAATATGATACTAAAAAGTCTGAAAGGCTAAGCCTATATTTAGTACGCAAATAATACCACCAAAATCCTATTCCCAATAAATCATCAAGTCGGAACCATACATAGACAGGAAGTATTAGTAAGTTAAGTGAACTCTTGTCTGCAACATACCATCAGATTGCTGCCATGGACTTTTCAGATGCACCTCCTCATTTGATAAATCTGAATCTCCTCTTTTCTCCCCACAACAGATCCACCTGCGCATCCTTCTTCTCTTCTTCAAATATAGATCCTCCACAGCTTTTAGCTCCTGAAACCATTCAAAGCAACTGATTATAGATGCAGAAAAAGTAACAATCTTCTATTGGAATGTCCCAGAGAAGTACTTGAATCTAAGTTAATGCTTCAGCTCACTACCTCCAAATGATTCAAATATTGTAACTAGTAAGTACAAATTTGTTTAGGCATATTGAAACCATCTAACAAATCACAGCAACATTATCACATAACTAAAAAGAAAAGCTTCAAATTTAAGCTAAAACAAGAAACTGTAATCAGATTTGCATAAAGTTACAATTATGATAAGCACAAGCTTTTGGAACAATGAGTTGGTAACTCTCGAATCATAATAAAAAAATACAATTCTCAATCAACAAATCCACATTCCATTAGTCGAACATGACTTAATATTCAACTGCAACATTACAAATCAGAAAGAGACAAACTTTTTGCCGTCGGATAAGGTCGGCGAGAGTCAACTACTATCGAAATCGAAAGCAAAAAAAAAAAGATCAAAACTTTACTATGAAACTAATAATTTCAAATCAGATACATTACCCAGATGAGAAATCTACTCGAATTAACGCTCAAACCACTAAGAATCGCGTCTATAACGAAGATCCTCAAATGGGCACAGAAACAAAATCGAGTAAGATATTTGCAATCAAAGTACAGAAAGCAAAATTGGGTCAAAAAGAAACGAATCAAGAAGCTCTAAAAAGGTAGAAAATCAAGAGAATTGATCCAAATTCAAAACAAAAAGAAAGATACCCGTCAAATCTAGGTTTTCCAAAAAAGTGATTCAGCTGCGACTTCTCTGATCAATAATTCTAGGGTTCTTCTTCGCTTAATGATTATTATTAACTCTGTAGATGAAAGAGAGTGAGTGGAGAAAGATGAGTTTTTGCTTGATGATGAAGACGGAGACAGATGGGCAAACCGCGGGGATGGCGATTATTTAACGGCCAATAGGAAAGTCCACTTTTCTCCTTTGGCTTTTTCTTCTTAATAATATTTTTATACTTTTTGTTCAAAACATAAAATAAAAAAATAAAATAATGTTTTTAATTTCTTTCAAAAGTAATATTTTTGTATTCTTTTTTTCCTCTTATGATTGAACTCAATCACTCATTTTTTGCTTTGTTGTGTTTCAATATTTTTAAGCTTTTAACTCATCTATTTTTTTTTTAATTTTGAGCACAAAATATTAATTTTTTAAAGCCTGAATATGTAACCTAGCTAATCTCTTATAATAATTCAAAATAATATATCTATAAATGATTATATACCTAATCATGCACAAGATTTATCAAAAAACAACATAAATTTTTTTTTGTTAAAAAAAAAACAACATGTCGATATAATATATATAATCTTATATTTATAAGTTTTTTTTTTATTAAATGAAAGTAAAATTCCCACTTTTTTTTTTTGGTAGAAAGTAAAATTCCCACTTTGTATGAACGAAGATTCTAACTCTGTTGTCCGAAGAAGATATCAGATGGTATTTAAAACGAGCACAAATTTAGGATTGCGGTATTGGGAGTGGCGCTATAAGAAGCTGTTGCAAAGCTTTCACAACTGTGCTCATTTTTGGTCTACACTCAGATTCATATTGCACACACAATGCTGCCACTGCTGCTAGCTGCGTTACCAAATTACATATATATTAGATCATTTTTTCTGCGATTAAAAAGACCAAAGACATGTAGTACTTGTCTATGTACCTTAGCTACTGATTTAGGAGGATATTCTCCTTTTAGCTTTGGATCAACACACTGCTCTACTTCATCTTCACTAAGTTTTGGTGTCGCCTGAATAACAAACGGTCCTAAGACATGAGATTAAAACATAGTAGGATATATATCAATTGTGATGGAAAAAGAGTAGCTAAAAACATACCCAAGTTACAAGACTTTGTTGCCCACGTGGCATTGTATGATCCACAGGTTTTCTCCCTGTCAAGAGCTCTAGAAGTACAACTCCAAAGCTGTATACATCACTCTTATGTGTCAACTCTCCAGTCATAGCATATCTGCAAATGGCAAGTCACATTTAGCTACCTTGTTCATATTTTCATCTAGATGCAACAAAATGTTTATAAACTATGGAAGATTACTCTGGAGAGTGATAACCAAAGGTGCCCAAGATTCTTGTAGATTGAAGACGAGCAGCATTATCAGGAGCTTGATTTGAAAGATTAAAATCAGCAATTTTTGCTTGATAGTCTTCAAAAAGAAGCACATTGCTAGATCTTATGTCTCTATGTATTACAAGTGGTTGAACCTTCTCATGAAGGTATTCTAAACCTCTAGCTGCCTCAACGGCTATCTTCACCCTCGTTATCCAGTCAAGTGTTGGACCTGGTTGTGCACCTTGAACTCCCTTCCTACCTGTAATAACAATATATTACACAACCATGGAGAAAACAGTTCTTACAAGAAATTTTTATAACAAGAAGGGCGAGGAAGCTCATTATACCATGTAGAATGTCGTGCAATGATCCCATTGTTGCAAACTCATAAGCAAGAACACGTAGTTTTTCGTCAACACAATAACCAACCAGTTGAATGAGATTCTCATGCTTTAGTCTTGAAACCATGGAAACCTAGGGAGAAGGAAGCAAGCTAAGAGAATGTAAATACAAGTTTCCTTAAGACAAAGGAAGGGGATTAAAGCAAGATCTATAACCTGGCTTAAGAACTCGGCGTTTGTTTCATCTTCTGGCGCAACATCGAGTTTCTTCAAAGCAACTGCTTTTCCATCATTTAGAGTTGCATAGTATACCCTTCCATAAGATCCCTCACCAATCAGAGACTTCGATTCAAAATTGTCAGTCTTTTCTTTAACCTCATCCACGGACAAGGAAGGAACTTCAATGGGAAGAGTCTCCTCAGGCTTTGCATTTTGATTCTTTTGATTTGCTACATATGTGATGTCAAAAAAAAAAAAAAAAAACGTTTTCTTCTTAGAAACATACAAAAACATTCATGCATCAAGTGTTTCACGTTCCCTCTTCTTACGTGGCCAAATATGATACTTATTATACAAAGCCGAAAGCTTAACCCTCTATTTATGAAGGACACAATATCACTAAAATCCATTTTCCCAATAATTCATCAAATCATAATCATACATTAACAGATTATATCAGTAAGTTTAAGTGATCTCTTGTATATAACATACCGTCAGAATTTTGCCATGGACTTTTCATATGTAACTTCTCATTTGACGAATCTGAAACTCCTTTTTTACCCGCACAACATATCCACCTGCGCATTTCTTGTTATATTCTTCAAATATGGATCCTCCAGAACTTTTACCTCCTGAAACCATTCAAAACTACAGGAAAATCGGGTATTAATAACGTCACAAAAACGCTATTGTACAATACGACAGCGTTAATAAAAACGCTGTGTCATCGCCCGCGATAATAGGTCTCCCACTTTCGATAGCGCTTTTCTTAAGTGCTATATTTAATTATTTATTGATAGCGTTGCTTTATATGCAATTGTAGAGTTTTCAATAGCAGTTCGTTTTTGTTATTATATATTTATAAAATTTTGTAATACGTAGATATCTTGTATTTATACAGTATCTGTGTATTTATAAAATATTGTATTTATACAAATCATTTACATTACTTCGTTTTTATTAATTTCTAATTATATTTAATTTATATTCTATTAGGTTTTTTGGATAAATTGACATATTAAAAATATCATATTTTATATGAATTCATATATATATATATATATATTATAATATTTTGATATATATATATTATAATATTTTGGTAAATAAAAAGAATTAATCTAAAAAATGTTTTAATTGACAAATTCATATGGGCTAAAATTTTGAAAATAAATTCATTTTGGTCTGGATTTTGTTGTGGGTTTTAGAGAGCCCATTAAGCCCAAATAAAAATTCTATTTATTATTTGTTTTACAGAAAAAAAACAGAAAAAAAAACAGAAAAAAAAAAGTGCTTCTTCGTCTTCCTCCTTCGTCTTCCTCCTTCCTCCACGAATCTTCTGCAACTTCTTCCTCGAATCTTCTGCAATTAAGAACAGGAACATGAACATCATCTTCTTATAAGTTTCTGTTATTTTTTCCTGAATTAAAAAGTAATACAAATTGTAATAAACATACCTAAGTAGCTTACAAATAGGAAAGAGAATTTGACGATCACATCTCCATCTCCATGAACTTCAACCTGTTAATAATATGAATTATTTAAAACAATCAGAGAGAATTGTTGAATCTGAAAAGCAATCGACAGAAAAGAAAAATATATGACTCGGCACGATTGGCTTTATCGTCGGGAGTTTGACAATTCATTGTCGTCGTCGATCGACTGGCTTCGTCTTCGTCATTGTCAGTCTGATTCAATGTCGTCGTCGATTTGGATTCGTTTCGTCGGGGAGTTGAGAGTTTCTTGTGTTTCGTTTCCAATGAAAGAGAAGATAGGCGGAACGTCGAGAAACAAAGAGTATTTATTATTGCTGAGGCAAATTAAAAAAGAAATAAAATTAGTTCCCTTGATCGAGAAACAGAAGTTCTGATCCAACGGTCTGAGATTACGCCACGTCAGCTATCCGAATGATCTCTTCCTATTGGCTATGTTCTTATTTGTTTTTATTCTCCTATTTTAAACGTTTTTGTGAAAGAAAAAAATTAGTAATTTTGATTTTGATTTTTAATATGTTATGAAGTTTTTTATTTAGTGTACTTAGTATTATTGAATAATTTTTTGAAGTTTATTTTGTTATGGATTTAATAGTAAACTAAGTTTCAAATTTGATCTCTCTATACCCTAAACTCTATACCCTAAAGGGTTTAGGGTATAGAGTTTAGGGTATAGAGAGTTTAATATTGAAACATATTTCTCTATTTATCAAATTAAGAATAAAAATATATATTTGTATATTTTTTGTTAATAGATTAATAGTAAACTTAGTTTTAAGATTAAACTCTCTATACCCTAAAGGGTTTAGGGTATAGAGTTTAGGGTATAGAGTGATAAAAATTGAATTTTGATCAAATTATCAAATTAACTACAAATAAATAAACTATAATATTTGATTTTCAGATATGATTATGTATAATTTTACAAATTAATTATTCGTCAAATAATATTAATTGATTTATGTATAAAACAATTGAATATGTATATATGTGGACAATTTTGAAAAAGTAGACGTTTTCTATTTTAGGATTCATAATTTCGGGATTGGGTTTAAGTTTTAATATTTAGAGTTTTGAGTTTAGAATTTTGAAAGTGATTAAATTCATTAATCCATTTTTAATTTCTATTTTGAATAACATTAAAAAATATATATATTGATTTTGTATTCTTTCTATTTCGTAGTACCTGTTTGCAAACCAATGGGATTCACATAGAAATTGCACGAACAAAAAGAAATTGACTAATTAGTATTTACATTCCATTAACGAACATCAAACTAAGAGAATTAAGAAGCTTGAGATTTATTTAATTATCAGATTCATAGAATTGACTATCCAAATGTGTTTTCTCCACTTTACATAATATATTGAGAACCCATTCTTCTTTCTTGTAAATATGCTTGACATCATAGCACCTGCAAACAAGTTTTTCAATTCAATACAAAGATAGAAGCAATATGATAAAAGAAAATCGAATAAACTAAAGATGATCAATAACCACACCACCTATATAACACATTAATCAATGGTTTGAGGGCAACCATTGCAAGAAGCACAAATCCCAAAGTTGCTGACTGAGAGTGACAGGAACTTGCTCCACTCTGCTCAAAGAAATTGAAAATGCTAATGAGGAAACAGATACTAGAGAAAGTAACATCGGCAATATTGAACTGAAAAATGTATTACCAACCGTCAATACGGTTTCCTTGGGATCTGATTCAACCAAAGATTCTGCTTCCCAAGTTACATTATGATGCGTAGCAATCTCCGTCAAAATTTTGATCTTCGTTGGACCATCAGGAGCTTTAACAGACAATTTCTCTACCAACTAAGCATAAAGAGAGAGAGAGTCTCATAAGCAATCATAGCTCTCTTCTACAAACAGCGGAGTAAGTAAGAGAACACGTACAACAACAACTTACCAAACGACTTACTTTTGAGAGTCAATCACATCCAAACGAGCAACAAGAAGTTCATAAGCAGCCACTGTCTTCTCTTCTCTCACCACATGCTCCACCTAAGCATTTCACAATCCATGATTCAAAATCATAGATTTCATAGAAACAAATGAAAATTTGATTGCTTCCTTACCCGAATTTTAGCTGTCTGGGTTTGGCCAGACTCAAGCAATTGAGCTAATTCTCTCCTCAATTGTTTGATCTGTGTATCCTTTTTGTTCTTCAGGATTTTCAGGCGTGAAGCCGCCATTTGTAAAGCAATTTTGCTTCATTATTGAAAAAAATAACAATCAGGAAACATTAAAAAGACAAAACTTTGCAATCACCCAATTGTCGTAATCAATCTTCCCGGTAATGTGAAGAAACTCGCAAGAACAGAGTAAGAAGAAAATGAGAAACTGAATTTACCATTTCGCAGGCTTAAAACTTCGATGAAGCACCTTCTTCATGAGGGCGAAACTTGATCAAAGAAACGAAATATCAAGCCTTTTGAGGTCTGCGAGTCTCCGAGTACACAATTGAAACGAAAAATCTGGGATTTTAGGGTTTTTGTTGAAGAAAATCAGATGGAAATTTTGTGATCTGAGGAAATGGACCTTCACGTGACACGAAGAAAAGTATCGATTTTGGAGAAGACGCAGAAGGTGAATTAGAGAAGAGGGGAAAAAAAACTAGACCTCGTGGCTGGATTGATGCGAAGAAGAAGTAGAGGAAGAAGAACCATCGTCTTTGTCGCCGGAATCTGCAACGGGAATCAAAAGCTCTCGATTCTCTTTCACGATTGGCCATCACAATCGCCGGCTTCTCGTCTCCCATCGCCGAAAATCTCAAGTTGGAGAAGACGAGATGGCCGAAGTGTTACACGAGTAATTAAACCTAATCCATCTATTTCACTTTTAATTATTTTTTCTCTATTTTTTAATTTTATTTTGTTACCACTTAATAGAAATATTTTTGGAGGCAACCAAATTTTTACTTTCCCGGTTACCCCTATAATAACGTTTTACTGTCATATATGCTATAATAGAATCAAAAACTAGGCGCCACTATAAAATATTTTGGCGGTCATCCTACCATAGCGTTTATCTTTTCTGAAACGCTATAAATTTTTTCTCGAAACTCAACTATAGCATAAACATCAAAAACGCTATTCTGTACTGCTATTAATACCCTTATTTCCTGTAGTTTAACTATTGAATCTAGATGCATAAAATATATCAAATGTGGAGGAGATTCGAAGTATATATGCGGGGGCGCATCCAAGCTTGGTTTGCAATGTTTAAGAAAAGCTTGCACTTTTGTAAAAATATATATATTTTTTTAATATAATTTAACATTAAATTCAAAAAAAATTATATACAATTTTCTATCAACTCGGGACACTATAGAATTCTAACAAAAAATCTATACCAAACCCAGAGTAAGTAGTACAAAGTTTTAAGAAACGAAATTGTCACTGTGACTGCAATAAAATCACTTTGAATCTCATGTTACAATTTCACAAGGCACTTCTTCAATCTCAAGTTAATGCTTCAACTAATTTCACAAATCACAAGTTACTTGCAAAACTTCAAATTTAAGCCAAAACCAGACGTACTAGAAACTGGAATCAGATTCGCATCAAGATAATTGCAATTTCTTATAAACACAAACTTTTGAAACAGAGTTGGTAACTCTCACAATTCATAAGAAATTGTAATTCTCAGTCAACGAATCCACATTCCATTATGCGAACATTAGTTAATAGCCAACTACTAACGAAATTAGTAGAAAAAAGAAGATTAGGGAATCAAAGATCACATAATACCAAGTAAAAGACTAAGAAATTCAAATCTTCACCTAAATGATAAATCTATTCGAATTTACGGTAAAATTATAGATAAAAACATACACTCAAAATCACCTCTGAACGAAGATCCTCCTCAAACGAAATCAAATTTATAAAGTTAAAAATAAAGCAAAACCCAGATATATATAACCTAAATCTCTATAAAATAAGTTTTCAATAAATCTATAAAGTATTATTCCTTACTATTAAAGTATATAATTATAGTTCACACTTAAATTAGGTTTGATTCTTAAATTTATAGATTTACTCAAAGTATAGTGTTTTTATTATTTAGTGTCATTCTTATGAGTTGAATTCTGACAATTGTCAACTCAAACTGGAAAAGAAAAAATAAATAATAAGTAAGATTTTACAATTGTGTTTTTTGAAAGTACAAAGAATCAAATATTCTATCCTAAGCAAAAATATTTGAAGACAATAAATAATATTCTTTTTCCTAAACAAATGATTTTCTAGAGTTGTCACATGTATTAAGAATCAATCATTTTTAATTTTTTGACGATTACTTTTATATATTAAATATTTTTTAAAATAATTTTGAACCAATAGTAATATTCTGAAACAATTAATCATTTTCAATCATTGCATCTTGAAGTTTACGATTTATCAATATTAATTGATAAAAATAAAAAAAAACCTAGAAAATCAATATTTGTGGAACAAACAAAAAAGTTAGAACACCAATTTTTTAGGAATGAAGTGAGTAATCAATTAGAAATCCATGGTAGAACAAATTTTTATTTATTCTGAAGTTGGTGGGTGAATCTGGATCGTTAGAGACAATGTTCTCCTATCTCGTCTCCTAGACTTGTCCACCAATATTCTCTCCAAAAACGATAAACCGTATAAACTAGCCTAAAACTTGTATAATCATCTTATTTCCATTACAAAAAATGAGTTTCTAGATAATACAAACTTTATTAATTAATGTGAGGTTGGCAAAAAAAAAAAAAAAAGATAATACAAACTTATCATTCATCTTCTGATGTTTTTTTCTCTTTTTTTTGGTTACTTTAAATCAAAACAGTTTTGGTTATTTTAGTCGAGTTTAACTGAGTACTTTTTTTGAAAAACTTTCAGAAACTTTGATATTTAAATTTTAATTTCTAATAACACTAGTTTAATACAACTGTTTGGCCAAAATATAATTAAGTTCGGTATATCAAAGTTTTTTTTGGCGTTTACACGTTTTCGATGCCACAAGTCTTTTAGCCAAATATAATTTGCTTCAACAATTCAAATACATAATGTGAAATTTTCTATTCTTTACTCTTTAGTGGACTTTCAAATTTTGAATATTTATTAATTTATTTTTCATACTTTCCACCCAACTTATTAGCACTAACGAGAAAACTCGAAAAGGTAAAAGAAAAAGAAATTCGAAAACTCTGCTTCCGTCATCGTAGATCCATGAGATCTTCAGCGGGAAAGCTTCTCTCCCATTCTCTACGGAGAAACCGCGGGAAACCTGTTGCCGGAGGCCATGGATTTTGGATTCCGGCTACGAGGTCGTCATCGAAGATGTGGATTTCGACGGTCCCGTCAGATGAAAAACCTGATCAAAATTCAATCGATGCAGGATCTTCAATGCGGAAACCAATTAGCTTATGGCCTGGAATGTATCATTCTCCGGTGACTAATGCGCTTTGGGAAGCTAGACGTAATATGTTCGAAAGCCCTACCGGAGACGACGATTCTCTTTCAAAATTGACGGCTAAGTCTCCGTCTCGAAGCCGGACTTCGATTCTCTACAAGTTTTCTTCTGATTTTGTTCTTCGAGAACAGTATAGGAATCCTTGGAATGAGATTCGTACTGGTAAATTGGTTGAAGATCTTGACGCTCTTGCTGGAACCATCTCCTTCAAGGTTAGAAGTTTTATGGATTGTGAGAAGCTTTTTACCTTTGATTAGTTAGTGATGAGTCTCATGTTTTGGCTTTTGTGTCAACAATTGAGTTTTTGAAGATAATTAGGTTTTGTGTGCTCTTACTGAACAGCATTGTGGTGGTGATAGCAGTGCGAGATCAATGATTTTGGTGACTGCTTCAGTGGATAGGATTATCATGAAAAGACCAATTCGTGTGGATGTTGACCTGAGTATAGTTGGCGCTGTTACATGGGTTGGAAGATCATCCATGGAGATGCAATTACAAGTACTCCAAAGTCAAGGTATCAGTTTCTCTTTAAACTATGTAGATGATAAACACTTGAGTTGTTGGCGCTTCGTTTTGCTAGGGAAAAGAATGAAAATGTGATTGAATCTGAATGTTAGGTTTGGATAAGCTTTAACTGTTAAATGAGGTGGTAAATAAACAAAATAGAAATAGAAAGGTCATGATAAACACTTGAGGAATAAGACTGAAAATCTGAATGTTAGGTTTGGAGGAGCTTCACTGCCTCAACAAAATAGAAAGGTCATGCTTTCACTGTTAAATGAGGTGGTGACTAAACAAATATATAGTTGTGAATACCATTTGAAGCATTGTGAGATGGATTTGAATATGAACTACATCTAGCTCACTGATGTTATGTCATCATTGGAAAAAAATATTACTTTCATGGTACCTTTTAACTCAATTATATCTCTGTTTCATTCACTGAAATTGATATCTTTTGTTGAGTTATGGTTTTTTTTCCCCTCTCAAAATTTTGTAATACCCACCAATAATCATCATCATTATCATGTCGAACAATCTCAAGCTTTGCTGAATCTTCCTTTTAACCATTTTTTTGCAGATGCCAATTCCGCTGAGTCGGTTGCCCTTGAAGCAAACTTTACATTTGTGGCTCGTGATGCCCAGACAGGCAAGTCAACTCCAATTAACCAAGTCGTACCAGAAACTGAGCATGAAAAACTTCTGTGGAAAGAGGCAGAAGAGAGGAACAAACTACGAAAACAAAAGAGAGCACAAGGTAAAGAAGAGCATGAGAAGTTGAAGGACTTAGAGAGGCTAAATGAGTTATTAGCAGAAGGACGAGTATTCCTGGACATGCCAGCTCTTGCAGATCGGAACAGCATCCTAATTAAGGATACTTCCCATGAAAACTCATTGATCTGCCAGCCACAGCAACGAAATATTCATGGCAGAATTTTTGGAGGCTTCTTGATGCGCAAAGCTTTTGAGTTGGCCTTCTCCAATGCTTACACCTTCGCTGGGGTTTCACCACGTTTTCTGGAAGTTGACCGCGTCGATTTTATCAAACCAGTGAGTCTATTTCTTTCTCATTTTTTCATCTAGTTATGGTGTGATGTGAAAGAAAAAAAACAGTGAGATATATGATAGCCATAAACGAAAGCGATTAAGGGGATGTTTTCTTATGATGCAGGTGGATGTTGGAAACTTCCTTCGTTTCAAATCACGAGTATTGTACACAGAAGCAACCAGTTCAGCTGAACCGCTGATAAACATCGAGGTTGTAGCTCATGTTACAAGTCCAGAGCTCAGGTCCAGCGAAGTAAGTGTACACATATAACATTAAATATATTTTGAACTATACACATTACATGTTTAGGCTGAGAAGAAGTTTAAGGTGATGTGATTTTGGGTGGTAGGTCTCTAACAGGTTCTACTTCACCTTCAGTGTGAGACCTGAGGCCATGAAAGATGGATTGAAAATAAGGAATGTGGTTCCAGCAACAGAAGAAGAAGCTAGAACGGTAATTGAGCGCATGGACGCAGAGAGACCCATCTCATCGCCTTGACCGCGGCATTTGAACTGTTGATATCGGTAAACAAGAGAAACCCAGTCTGACTAAATTATGAATAAGAAGCCATTTAATTTCCTTTATGCAACAGAGATTCGTTTAATCATTATTTCCCTCTGCGAGAGAACAATGATCTTCGACAATGTGAGAGAAATGTCTATGTATAGCTACTGACCTACACTATAATGTTTATTTCAGGCTATTTTTCTAATTAAAAGAAGAAAAAAACCTCTAAAAAGAAAGAGTAATCATACTTTGTTGTGTTGAGTAGTAGTGTCGATGACTGGTAAACAAATTATGTTTATGAATGACTGGTAAACATTATTAATGTCCAAAGTCCAAACCATACCAAATAAAGTCGCCTTGAAAGTACCTACTTTATTACCGAAGAAAAGCCCCAATAAAATGCAAACAGTGATTTAGATTAACGCCTAAATCCATCATTTGCGATTACAAAATCAAATTTTACTTCAGATGGTTTTTAATCACTTTTCGTCGCTTTTTTACCTTTAGACCTTGAAATCGATGGAAAGCAATCGAACCCAAAATTCTCTCATTTCTCAATCAAAACTATCTTCCTTCACTTCTGGGCACGAAGCTGTGTTGTTGAACGTTAGATTTCAGAGCTGAAACAAATAAAAACCATGGAGAAGAGAGAAGAGGAGCAACAAAAGCGCGACGATTCCAGATTCAATCAAACACTTAAGAACGTCCAAGGGTAATCAATCAATCAATCTCTTCCTCGATCTTGCATTTCTTATTTCTGATTTCAATGTCTTAGATCTGTAACTTTGTTATGCTACTTGTGAGGAATCGTGTAGATAGTTTCAGATTTGAATTTCTCTATTTTTGTGTTGTTTTGGTTCAGGTTTCTTAAAGGTAGAAGTATTCCTGGTAAAGTATTGTTGACTAGGAGATCAGATCCTCCTCCATACCCAATCTCTCCAACATATCAACGGAGCTTATCGGAGAATGACGCCGGTCGAAATGAGCGATTCGAGAGTCCCGTTGAGGTATACTTGTGGAAATGACTTGAGATTTTTTTATGTATGAAGGGGACTTGAGAATTAAGAGAGCTTATTGTAGGTGGAAGATCACAATTCAAGTAAGAAACATGATAATACATATGCTGGTAAGCTACGATCAAACTCTAGTGCTGAAAGGAGTGTGAAAGAAGTTCAAAACCTGAAGATAGGTGTTAGATCAAGTGACTCTGCTAGAGTTATGAAGTTCAACAAAGTGCTTTCAGAAACAACTGTCATCTTAGGTACACTGCTTTTGCCTTTGATGTAGTGTTTTGTTTACTATTGTTAGGACTCGGAATTTGTTTCGATAGTGAGAATCTTATGTGAATGATATCACTTGCCAGACATGGCTTTGTGTTTTAGGTTTTTTCTCATAGCTCAATGGAAAGACTCTATTTTGATCTTCTGTTAATTTGTTAATATGAAAATTTCTCTTCAATTCCCGCTTCTTACCTGCAGAGAAACTGCGCGAACTAGCATGGAATGGTGTGCCACACTATATGCGACCTGATGTCTGGCGGCTTCTCTTGGTACGCTCTAGGACTTTCATATCTAAGCATATTCAATGTTAAACTTCTGTTGATTTGAATTGTAATCCGTATATCATTATTATGTACATTTACAATACTGATCATTATAATATCTTCCGTAGATAGCTGTTTAGCTTATTAGAGTCAGAATGAGGGTACACTTGCACTAGTCAGATGATTTATGTTATTAGCCCTTTCCATCAACATTCTCTACAACAACAATTTTGGATTTTGGTTTGTTTTGTCTATTTGAATTTAAATATAAACTGACAACAGGGATATGCACCACCTAATTCAGATAGAAGGGAGGCTGTTCTGAGAAGAAAACGTCTTGAATATCTGGAATCTGTTGGCCAATTTTATGACCTTCCAGATTCCGAACGATCTGATGATGAGATCAATATGCTTCGCCAGGTTTTTCCTCTACTCTCAGTGCTTCTCTAACATAATGTACAAAAGTTGGTAAAATCTCTTAGCAACTGTATTCTTTCTCAGATTGCTGTTGACTGTCCAAGGACTGTACCAGATGTCAGTTTCTTTCAGCAAGAACAGGTGCAGAAATCACTGGAGCGTATTCTTTACACGTGGTGAGTTACAGAATGCAGGCTGTGATTATAGTTGTTCTTGGGTCAACCAACAACCAGTTGGAAAATTCAGATGAAAGCTAAATCTGAAAATTTAATTTTGCTGAATTTACAGGGCCATTAGGCATCCAGCGAGCGGATACGTTCAGGGAATAAATGACCTGGTCACGCCCTTCCTAGTTATTTTCTTGTCAGAATATCTAGATGGCGGTGTAGACTGTTGGTCAATGTCTGATCTATCTGCTGAAAAAGTCTCAGATGTAGAAGCGGATTGCTACTGGTGCTTAACAAAGCTACTTGATGGTATGCAAGATCATTACACGTTTGCTCAACCTGGAATCCAGAGACTTGTGTTTAAGCTGAAGGAACTGGTCAGGCGTATTGATGGTAGGTTCTTGCTAGCTTGTTGTTGAAATTGGATGTGTTTACCGAATCATGTGAATTATATTGGGTCCAATTTCCATTTTGCTTACCATGAAGTCCTTCATTTACATCTTCTGCATTTTAAGGAAATTTGTGTCTTGAACAATTGTTTTGTTGAGTTGATGTTATAGAGTGAAAAGATCTAGGATGCTAATTAGCTTGTCATGATGCTTGATGCTATTGTACTGCATTTCCTATACGTTAATTCATAATTAACCAACCACCTATTTTTCCGTTTTAGGCCTGATTATTGGATTATGATATAGACTATAGAGTTAACACTGTCACATTTTCCTCTGCCTTGTTATGTACTAGAACCTGTTTCAAGACACATGGAAGAGCATGGGCTGGAGTTTCTTCAGTTTGCTTTCCGGTGGTATAACTGTCTTCTCATTCGTGAGGTTAAACACCATTTTGAACTTCTACTAATATTTGCCACGGTTTTTAAAAATCTGGTTTAGTCTCATTACAGTTTTTTTTGTGGGAATTTACAAAACCTTTGATTTTCTATAGATCCCTTTCAATCTCATCAACCGCCTATGGGACACTTATCTTGCTGAAGGGGATGCCTTGCCAGACTTTCTAGTGTATATATATGCTAGCTTTCTCTTGACGGTAAGAAACATTGAATCGAATACAAGTTGCGTAGTTTGGATTTGTTTTTTTCTTTGTACCACGAGAATTGAATACAAGTTGTGTTTGTGAACAATGCAGTGGTCTGAAGAGCTAAAGAAGCTAGATTTTCAAGAAATGGTAATGTTCCTGCAACACCTTCCGACACATAACTGGTCAGACCAAGAGCTCGAAATGGTGTTGTCAAGAGCTTACATGTGGCATAGTATGTTCAATAATTCCCCAAACCATTTGGCTAGCTGAAATGACTTTTCCTCCATGATGCTGCTGTTTTTCCCTTGGTTATATTATCTTCTTCTTCTTCTTGTCAAAATCAGCTTTCGGGGTTTTTTTTGTTTGGTTATGGTAAATGCTAACATTCTTGTCTTGTTAATTGTTATTAGTTATGTATGTTTTCACGCACCTCTTGTTGAATCTTCTCACCAGTTTGTGTGTTTGTAATATTTGTAGCTTTCACTAATTTTGGCTGTCTCAATAATTTTTATTTGGAATTCATGAAATTTCGAGAGAGAGATAGAGAGCTCTAACTGGATAACTCTTGACAGTATTATCCATGCCAATCCAGCTACGCCCGCCCGGCCATTCGACTCTTTTGGGCTAGTAATAGCTGCATTTGTTTATTACTTATTCCGTTTCAAAATATAAGACGTTTTAGTTCAAAACACGCATATTAATATCTACTTTTAAAAAATTCAACCAATCATCAATGAGACTGTATAATATAAATAATGAGAAAATATTAAATTAATATATAATTTGTATAAAACTTTGAAAACGTTTTGTATTTTAAAATAAAAATAATACCTCAAAACGTTTTACGAGGAAATATTATGTATTTATGTGTTAGATAGATAATACTACAAATTAATAATTAATTAACCTCAAAATTCAAAACAAAGAATGTGGACATGAGCAACGTTGTCAACAAATCTACATAAAAGATGATGTCTTTTGTCTTGGATTCCTAAGCACAATAATATATATTAAAGTCAACATCAATCAAAAAATTTGGTCGATTATTTGCATCTTTTATTATTAACTTTGTGGTATGATTATTTTGATAAGGAATATTATTTCTAGTAAAATTATTATTATGTTACGTTATATAAACTTCAGCAGTAATGTCACTATAATAGTAAATTTTCCATTGAAGTAAAGAAAAAATTCGAGAGATTATGATGAAAATGATGATGATGATGATGAGTCATCACTTTTTGAAGCCCATGCCTAATTACGGTAAAATGAAAAAGGTGTTTTAAGGAAATAAGAAAAAAAAAAAACACTGTGAAGGGTTAAGAGAGAAAGGTAAAGTAAGAAGTCTCTCAAGTTTCTTTTTGCTTTCCCTTTTGTGTGGTTCATTCATCTCTCAGTCTTCTTCTTCTGCTACAACGCTCTTCTCCACCACCGTATAATCGAGTATTTTCCGAGGAAGAGAAGTTGATACTACGGGTTTCTTCAATTTCTAGTGGGAAAAAGCTCTCTACCTTTTTGCTCGGAGAAAATGGTTTGATTTTCGAGGATGATGAAATTTTCAGGTATCTTCACTTGTTCCTTCTTCTTCTAGCTATCGCTTTCTCGTATTAGGGCTTGAAATCAGTTCCAATTCGAGAAATTTTATGGTTTCGTTACATGAATGTTGTTTAATCGTTGTCTCTGCGTTTTCATTTGGAAGCTTAGTAATTTTTACTTTGGGGAGAATTTGGAGTGTTTAAGAATTGGGTATTGACTCTGCTTTCTGGGTAAAACAGAAATTTTAACTTTTTCGTGTTTTTGGTGGATCCGAATAAACTAGGATCTTGAATACAAAAAAGCAAATGGTTGTTAGATGCCAAAAATATTTGGTGGAAGAACATAAGATTTATAGGTTCTTTTATCTTAGTTTTTATATGTGGGGGTTGGATTCTGTATGTCCTTTACTAGTTGGAAGAATACTTAAAAAGACCCAAATGTTCGTTGGACTCATGAATAAGAGGAGTAGAGTGATGTGGTTGGCAAGAAAATAGAGCTCTTTAATAACAAACGAACATTTCACTAAACTTCCTTTTTTCTGCATCTACCATCCTTGTAGATGTCCATTAGGCTCATTGTCTCGAATGGGTTCATTGGAAAAGTTACTAACTTCTTTTGGGTTTTGTTATTTCTTCTGAAGGTTGTTGCCAGCTTTGGTGCTGGTCATGGCTTTTATCTGACTACCGTATGTGCCTTTGATGAAACTAAATAATGCCCCGGGGAGAGTTAGCTATGGGCTCTTTAGAGACTGTTTCTTGGCTTAAGGGTAAGTTTAGTTTGAACTCTAGTTTGTGTGGTGGATACAAATGAGTTGAAGTCTTATGTTTTTCCGCCGCTAATAAGAATCATGAGAGTAGTTTTACCAACTGTTTTTTGGGTTTCCATAGTTCACTGCAATGATAAATTATTATTTTTTGACTTGTTTGGATGCGTTTAATAGTTTTATGTTGGCAATGTTTTCCCCAAGCAACAGCATTACACATTTCAGGTTTAACTCATAAGAAAAGTTCTTGTTACTTGGGAGACCTTTTTTCTAACTAGATTCCAAGTTTCAAACCCTGTGATCGCAATAACGTGGTTTCGTAAATGATTTCCTGGAGTTTGAAAATAAATAAAGCTGTTTGTTAATGGGTTACTTGCTTCTCTTATCAGGCTGTTTGGTTTATCGCTTCTTGTTATTTATTATCTGGTTATCAAGCTTCCAAGATGTAGCTGCGCATGATAAGCTTAATGAGCATAGTAGCAGATCGACAACCTCTGAATTGGCAAATCCACCTGGTATTGGAGTATCTGGTCCCATTCAAGTATCGCCGTCCGTAATTCCCAAATATGCATCTCCTGCTCTACCTTGGACACCACCAATGTACCCTACTTTTCCTGATACATATGAACCCAAGTTAACCGGCAAATGTCCTACAGACTTTCAAGCAATTTCTAGTATTATCGATACAGCGGCTTCTGATTGTTCCCAACCGTTTGCTGCACTTGTTGGGAACGTGATATGTTGTCCACAGTTTGTTAGCTTACTTCATATTTTCCAAGGACAGCACAACGTGAAGTCAGATAAGTTGGTTCTGCCTGATAAAGTTGCTACAGATTGTTTTTCAGATATCGTTAGTATCCTGGTCAGCAGAAGAGCCAACATGACAATACCTGCACTTTGCTCTGTAACATCGTCAAATCTAACTGGAGGTTCCTGTCCAGTAACAGATGTCACAACGTTCGAGAAAGTTGTTAACAGTAGCAAATTACTGGATGCCTGTCGCACTGTTGATCCTCTTAAGGAGTGTTGTAGGCCTATTTGCCAACCTGCAATTATGGAAGCTGCGCTTATTATTTCGGGACACCAAATGACAGTTGGTAATAAGATCCCTTTAGGAGGATCAAATAACGTCAACACAATTAATGACTGCAAAAATGTGGTGTTTTCATATCTTTCCAGGAAGCTTCCGGCAGACAAAGCCAACGCCGCATTTAGAATTTTATCTTCCTGCAAAGTTAACAAAGGTACTCACCTGTATCATATTATCTTTCTCATCGAATCTCCCTTGGATAGTCTTGGAAATTATTCTGACTGTACATTTGTGTTACAGCTTGCCCGTTGGAATTTAAGGAGCCAGCGGAAGTGATCAAGGCTTGTCGTAATGTGGCTGCTCCAAGCCCTTCTTGCTGTAGCTCGTTGAATGCATACATCTCTGGGATACAGAACCAAATGCTAATAACAAACAAGCAGGCCATAGTCTGTGCAACAGTCATTGGTTCTATGTTACGTAAAGGTGGTGTTATGACAAATATCTATGAGCTTTGTGATGTCGATCTCAAAGATTTCAGTGTCCAAGGTAACTTTTGTTTTAGACTCCCTAATAACTGTATCATCTTTTCCTCTACCTTTTATTGAATATTTCCTGACTTTAGCTCTCTTTATCTGTTTCTGGGTATGCCTGTGGGCAATAAAAGCAGCATATGGAATGCAACAAGGTTTGCATCTATTCATCTCATATTCCAAAGCTGTTTGATATGTGTTGTTGTCTAGCCAGAATAAGTGTTAACGATCTTTGGGGTAACAATGTGAATATAGGTTGTCTTCTGCGAAGCTATCCTGCAGACTTGATATTTGACAACACATCAGGCTACAGCTTTACATGTGATTTGACAGACAACATTGCTGCTCCATGGCCATCTTCATCGTCAATGACTTCTTTGTCTCTCTGTGCTCCAGGTAACCATCTCTCTTTACTTGTTGTTCTTCTCGTGCTCACTGTTAGAGCTTCCAAGAGACTGAAATTTTAGATTACAAAAGAGTGATACTTTTCTTATTCATTCAATTTACTTAAATCTGCAGAGATGTCATTACCTGCCTTGCCAACATCTCAGACTATTAAAAATCACGGTACTCATAATTTCCTTGCAATTTAAATCATAAGTAAAATCAAAGACCATGGACAAATTTTTTAAGAAGAGAACTGAAAGACCTGCATTTTCAACATGTAATTGCAGGGTTTCGCAATGGTGGGGTTGAAGCGTTTCGTCTCATTATTTGGGTATTCCTTCTGTATGTTGTTGTGAGACATTAAAATGAGATTTAGGAGGAGAGTTTTGTTTTTGGTAGTCAGTGAGGACTTTGGAGAAAACAATGGTAAGCTCAATTTTCTTCTGTATATGTTTCGTAATAGGGCAAGTGTTATGTAGTAGTAATATCTTTCTCAAATCTCATGTATAGTAGCATTTTTCTTCTCTGCTTCTGTTTCCCTCATCCTTGTTATGAGTTTTTTTTTTTCTTTTTCGCATTTGGTTATTCATTTTCGCTTTGGGAATTAAAGATGAGATTCTGAATCAATTGGGATCGATCGTTAATTAGTACCTAAAGATCAGTGACCGAAGTCTTATAAGCTTTGTCCTCTGAGAAACCCGGAGAAACCCTTGACAAAACAAAACCAATGAACCTTCTAAAGCCTGGTAGTCCTATTTCTCAGATTGATGAGAGTCTCAAACGGAGTATTAAACCTTAATCCAAAATTTAAACTACTAAAAAAATCTAGATAAATTTGAAATTGGAGTCAAGCATATATTGTAAATTAGTGTATTAAACCTTCAAATTGTGAATTATCTCTTATGAATGTATTATTGTTGATTTTTTTTTTGTCAGTGAATATTTTTGACTAAAATAGAGTGAAGAGTCGTAAATAAAAAAAGAAAAAGATAGAATCATCTTTCCTTGAGTTCTGCTTCTTCCTTCATCTCCGACTCTCTCAGACCTCCGCGCGTTTCTCTTCCTACTCCTACACTAGGTGATCTCTCTCTCTTCTCTCTCAATTTCCTATCGGTTTTAACCTCGATGCATTGTCGTACGAAATTCCTGCGAATTCCTCCTCTCGAGTTTTCAAGTTCTGGAAAAACTTTTTGTCGAAGAAATCAAAGTCTTTAACAAAAACTTTCGAAATGTATCTTCAATCTTATTATTAGAGTTCAAAGGTGCCACAGAAGAACCAACAGCTATCGAGAATGCAGACAATCATCCACAATCTCTCGTTTTGTTGTAGCTTTTATTCTACAGTAAGCTCTTCTTCTTCTTTTTAGCATCTCTTTGCTTTGCTTTATTCAAATTTGTGTAGATTTCCTCCAACATTTTCCTTTTTAATTTGCAGATTATTGATCCCAAACCAAGATTTCAGTTTTCTTCTTTTGTAACTCTTCCTCCATCTTTTTCAGTGCAACAGAAACTCTATACAAGGTATCAATTTCCGAGAACTAGGTATCAATAACTTCTGCATTTTTGCTTGAAGCATGAGCTTGTTCATGAGCAAAATTGAGATTAAACAATATTTAAGTTTTATGACTACACTGAGAAACCATTGATTGTGTTTACTGGAGTGTTTAGTTTCTTCCTTGGATCGTTGATGTTTTCTTCTTTACTTTTTACAGAGCAACGAGTAAACAGTTTATCGCCTTTTCTGCAGCACCATCAGGTTCAAGCTTTAGAATTATATACTTTTTGTTGTTTTAGCTTCTTCTTTTTTGGTGAAGATGTGCTTTCCCTTTGCAGATGTAGAGACTTCTTCTAAGGATGAATCTGTTTTGGTTACGAAAGTAGAGACTAAAAACAGCAATGAAGTTAAGGTATGCCGTTGTTTCTGCGCAAAGAAGCATCATAGTGGTGAAAAGGATGAATTATGATGACATTTAAATTTTCCATGATCTAATCTGTGTCTTGAGACTTTGTTGCTTTTCCACCTTATGTTCCCTATTGGCTTGAATAGGTGCATGTACAAGTATCAGGAGAGAAGACTCAAACAGTATTCAATCATGTATTTGAGAAAATGGTTGCTGCAGCTCAGCCAATACCGGGGTTCCGAAGAGTTAAAGGAGGTATGACATCATGAATACTGTATTAGCTATGGGAAGATATTACTCAAGGGCGATCTTAAAAAAACAAACTTTGATAAAATTGATTTCTTAAGTTAGGCTCTCTATCCAAACTTCATTTATTGTGGATAGATTATACGCTTAGGAACATGTATTAGTGTTTGCTAGCTTACTTTGAGGAAGCAAGTTGTTTGATTCGTTTTGGTGTTAGATTGCATGTTTCCTTCAACTCTCTGCACTTTGTAATTTCGTTGTTGGGTTTAGAAAGATTTGACTAAATAGGTTGGACATATAAGTCACTCTTGCTAACGATGCTCATAGATTGCATACGGTTCTGGAAATCTCTCTTGTTTTTCTAGTTAGTATGATTTGTTGCTGATGACTAGTAGCTAACTCATTTGATTGCTTCTCTAATGTTTTTCCCATTGCTGTTTTTTTTCCCTTCTTCTGCATTTGCTTATCAACCTTCGATCTCCAGGGAAGACCCCAAATGTAAGTTTTTACTTCAGTGTATTTTAGAGAACCCATTATTTTTGCATTATGGTAAAATAACTTAATCATCAAGTGGTTTGGCAATGGAAAAGATCATGCGATGCACTTTACTGATACACGTAGATTCAGAGTCTTGCAGTGATATTATATGCTGGCAAACTCACTTAAATACACTCATTGAGTTGTTCTTTGGCGTGTGCTTAAGTGCCCCTTTCCTTATATTTGCAGATACCCAAAGATGTTTTGTTAGAGATCCTTGGATATTCTAAAGTCTATAGGCAGGTGATAAAGAAATTAATCAATTCTGCTATCGAAGACTATGTTAAACAGGTATTTCATAACCTCAAGCTTCTCCGTAGATTCTATTTAAGTCAGATTTAGCTACTAGAATTGGAAATATCGTCAACAGCCTTAGTTTGATTGTGTAAAACCAGTTGGAGTCAATGAGTAAATCATCTTTTGTGGTTGGAGTTCAAAATGGTTTGATTTTGGTTGTCCATGCTTTTGTAGGAAGACCTTAAGGTTGGCAAAGAGTTGACTGTTGAGCAAAGTTATGAAGATCTTGAAGAAACATTCGAACCAGGTGATAGTTTCAGCTTTGATGCTATTATAAAGCTTCAAGAAGCGATATGAAGAAAGCGTTGATCCTAAGGTAACTTATCAATGTGATTTGTCTTTTTACCTTGTCTGGTAACAATTAGATTTCTTGTAGTGTAGGAAAGGATAACCTCATTTAATAAATGTTTGAAACTTCAGTTATGTGTCGTTCCTCGGATCTTGTAGTTTTAATGAGATGATTGGTGTGTTGTCCAAAAAAATAAGGTAGCCACACAAATGAAACAACTAAGAAAAAGGACAAATAAATGAATGCTTCGGTTTAGCTTCCTAACATGGATGATGTTTAGTTTCATGATAAAAGATAGACTATTCCAAAACCCCACCTGCACTGCACTCCATGGTGGTTATAAGTGGATCAATCATCTTCTCACTATCTCAAGATTGTATGACTTCTGCAGCTCCCAAGCTATCTCTTCAACTAACTCTACTCCTTTTCATTTTTCCTATTATTACAAACACAAGCTCTCCTTTTGTGTCTCTAAATGTTTCTCTACCACTGAAATCTCATTCACTAAAACAACCCACTCGTTCTTGCCCTTCCTGTGAGTACTACGCTACGCTTGAAAGAATCACTTTCCATGTTGGGAATTGCTTTCTTCACCAATGCTTCTGCAATGAATGCTGGTACAGTATCTTTATGCCTCTGCAGATTATTCTGTATGGTCTCATGTGACCATCAGTACTAAAAGTTCTCTCAGGCCTTGGGGAGCACTCTTGGGAATTCTTCCTCTAGTAATTTTGATGTCGTTTCTGAAATGTGTATTCTTTCTTAATTTTCCGCTGATGGAGAACCGGTAAGTTTGGTGTCTGTTGAAGCCTTATTGCTGGTCTCATCAGTTGGTGAGGTGACACTTGTTTCTTCTATATTACCGAGAATCCCCATGCTAGCAAGAATTTCTTCTCTTGGCTCATCTGGATATTTTACTCTATAATATTCTAACTCCATCTCAAGATCTTGTATCTCCTTTTCCCTATCAGCCAAGACATCGTTTGCTCTCTCAAGTGCATCCATGTCGTGCTCTGCTTGCTCATCCATCATTCTCAGGTATTGTAAAGCTTCCATATGAAGAGCTGCTTTCTCCTCCTGCAACCGCGTGATCATCGCCATTGCTTGATTTGTAGCAATGGCTGAGGCATTTCTTTCTTCCTCTAATTCTTTATTCAAATCTCTTAGGGATTTCCTTCCATGCTCTAGTTGTAGCTTTAATACTTCAACAAGACTTTCGCCCTCGATGTCACTGCTGATGCTTACAAAAGATTCTACAGAAGCAGAGTGCTTTAGTTCCGGTGATCCATTAGAAGTATTACGAGTCTCTGTTACCTTTGAGGAATCTTTATCACTGTGTTCTAATGAAGATTCTTCATTGGAAATGTTTAGTGACGTCAAAGGCTCAGTCTCTTCATGATCTCCATGCTCTTCTTTATCCGAGTGTTCTTCTGTGACAACACCAGTCACATTGTTTGATGTCATTGGCTCCGATTCTTCATTATCAACATCCTCTCCGTTACTGGAATGGTCTTTTGCAGCCGAATAGATATTACTTCCATCTTCTTCCTCACTGGATCGTTCTTCAGCAAATGAACCAGACTCATTATTTGATGTCAAGGGCTCGGTATGTCCATTGACCTCATCTTCTTCTTCATTACTGAAGTATTCTTCTGCCACATTGTTTTCATTAACCTCGCTTTCTTCCTCACCTGACTGTTCCTGTTCCAGAGAATCTGACATAGTATTCGATATCAAAGGCTTGGAGTCTCCTTCAACTCCATTCTCCTCATCACTAGACGGTTCATTTGCAACAGAACCAGACACAGGCACATCCATGTGATTAGACTCTTTTTGCTCCATAGCTGCCTCAAATTCTTCTATCTCCATAACTGAACTGGGGATGTTTTGAGCAAAATCTGAGGGATCATCATGCTCATGATTTCGGATTTCCCGAGAGGCACCGTTTTCTCCAGAAGGACTCAAAAATTCTCCGCCAGAAGGGGATGAGTTGCCACTTACCTCAGCTTCATTTTCTGCAAAAAACAACATCAAATTAAGAAACAATATGACGTGAATGCATATGTTCTGACATGAGCGTTTGTGCGGAATTTATTAGAAAGCATAATAAACAAACCATTTTGTGCCACTGCTCCTGCATCATACTTTCGAGGTGAACCCAGTAAAAACGGACGAGCTTCACTCATAGTTATCAGCTCAGAGAGTACATCATGATGCTCCTTTGCCTTAACAGGTTGTTTCTGCCGAGTCCTGTTTTCAAGATTATGCTCAGGCATTATAGATTCGACGGTTTCTTTATCTTCTACATAAATGTTCTTATCCTGGTTGGCTTGCAAGTCAGGCTGTTTATGATTCGGCATCTTCTTGTGTTCAAACGATTTCCGCCTTCGAGACTTGTGCGCACGTTTCTCATTTGGCTCAACATTGAAGTCAGTTATTTGGAGGAATGCATCATCATCTGAAAACAGGAACTCGGACTCAGAATCCGAGTGAATCTTCAGCTCTGTGTAACCCACATGAGCCATACCGTCGCTGCGGCTTCCAACTTCAACATACTCAGAACCACTTGTTGCCATATGATCTCTCATCTTCTTCAAACTTCCACCGCTTCCTCGACGGCTAAGATGCCGTGGAGCAGGAATGTTGGGTTTACCGGCAGAGTTTCTTCCCCGAGAGCCTAACCGAATCAGTCTCTGTGTATGGTGCCTCGTCCTCCACGGTTTATTACAACAAGAACAGGATCTAGGGTGAGCAAAATGGCTTCTAGAGAGCAGATCATACCCTAATTTACCAAGAAGCAATCTATTCATATCTGGATTCGGACCGGACATTTTGGTAAACGACAAGAGACAATCATCACACATGCCTCGACAATCAGCAAGGTTGTTGCCGTGATTCTGACATGACATGAAAGATGAGACCTCTGATCTGTGGTTTCTGCAGAGCAAAAATCTCCAATGTAGAGGATGAAGAAGCTTGGAACAGAGGAAACATGGCATCTGCAATCTGCAGTAACGGGCAAACCAGACGAGAAGGTACGAGAGAAGAGCATCGATGAACATGAGAAATATGAGGAACCATTCGCAGGCTGCGTAAGTTAGCACCGGCGCGAACCCGTTGATGACATTTTGAGAAAATATAACATTTGAATCCATCTTCAGAATGATGATGATGAATCCTGAAAAACATTGAAACTCATCTCAAAAACTATCACAACAAAAAAGGAGCAAATGTGGGCAAAACTCAGAATCTTGGCTCTGAGATTTGCATGAGCATGGAGGCAAAAACGTGATATGTTGGATCATAAAAGTAAAAACTTGAGAGAAGTTTTTTTACCTGGGAAATGGAGGTTTGGTCAAAAGAGAGAAGAGAGGAGAATCTGGGAAAATGAAGACTGTTCCTTGTTCCGCGGTATAATCAAACAAACTTGTTCAACGATTAGTTTTTGAGTTTGCCTAAATTAGTGTATCGACCCAAATTTATGGAATTACCATAAACTTTTAGAATCTTAAATATTTAAACACTCCCCAAAGACAAAAATACGTATTATGGCCAACAATTTTACAGCACAAAATTTATAATTGTTCATTAAAAGTTAGTAGATTTTATTTTCAATTCCTATTTAATATAATAATTATTAGTATTTCATACTATTTAAAGCATATGATTTCAACAACAACAAAAAAAAGTATTATCTCGTGATGTATCATGTATGTGGGATTAAAGAATAATTGGTAAATATTACATTTTTAAATCTCTCAAGAAGTTGGATATTGTTTGGACTAATCTTATACTGTATTTTAGAAGTTGGAATATACCAAAATTTTATAATGTCAGTTCAAAAAAACATAGGTTAGGCCCTTTTATCATTGGCCCTCAGGTCGTCACAACCTTACGAAAACGCTCTAATTGAACCGAAGCAAACACTTTTCTACTTACTTCCTGTGGCAGGAAAGAACCAATCGTCTACGCGGGGAACTGCTGAAGTGCTAACAACGGTCTCCTATACATTGAATTATAAGCTACCGTACCTTGACAAGATTCTCCAAGCTCTTCAGGTGATTCATTCGGTTAAGTTCAAGCTTTCTTTGCCGAAAGCAAACACTTTGGCACAGGATATTGCTTGTAGTGCCACAAAGGAGGGACGATTCAACTCGTATTTGGCTAAGGGAAGCCTGGCGTGACTTCATAATAGGATCAAGAAAGAGAGTCGTTCTTAATTTATTGATGCACTGTCATTGTTTTTTCTTGGTACTCTCTGTTTCTCTATTGCAATAATATGAGACGTTCCAGTCATAACCAAAGTTTACATAGTAGCTAAACGACACCTTTTTAATCGTAAAGTTAAAACACAAAATTATATAATTAAAATTACAATCAATACTGAAAAGAGGAGAAAATAAACTGAACAAAGAAATAATGATAATTTGGGTACTCGTGGACTGATCCCAAACCCTGCAGGCATACCCGAGGTCTTGTGTTCTAGTATAGGGCTTTTCGCAGGCAGGTCTTCGCGGCCTCGGGCTGGGCTGGGGTTAGCATCAAACCGCATGGGCAAGATAGTGCACCATGGGAAAGATAGTGCGGTTATCGCAGCTTGTAACTGCAAAATATGTAAGTATGCAAATATTTGTTCACTTTAGACTCAAATTATAACTAAACAAAAAATCACACCCAAAAAAATAAAAAGAGAGTCAATCTCTGGAATAACCTCAGGTAGTCTCTTCATCGAATATTCTCCACCAATATAGAGGGGAAAAAGGTTGTAAGGCCTAAAGATTTTAGCTAGTTGTTTCACATCAGTGTCGGCTTCCAAAAACTAGAGCAAAAGTATTAAAAATTATAAACGTAAGACAAAAGCAGTATTGTATATTTTGGTAATCTATTAATTAGCGAGACAGTATACATAATTCTTCCAGAGATATAGTAAGTCTACAATTATTTACCTCAGAAGGAAGTTGTACATCTTTGGAAAGAAGCTCCAAGACTCTGAAGAGAACACCAGCTGTTTTACATGCATGTTGGATGAAACTGAAAGTAGAGAAAGAAAGATACATGTATACATATATAGAAGCAGCAGAGAGAAACACACAAATTTGAGCAAACGAGATTTGTAATAAGCAGAAACCTGTCACCGCGTCCTAGGGAAGATCGGTTATCTTTGTAGAATGTGAATATGTAAAGGGTAGATTAGTCTTTGTTTAATCCCTAATTAGCTTATGAGTCTCCTTATATATAGTGTAACATGTACATCTAAATCAATAAGACATTCTCAAACCTATATGGTAGCAGAGCTACGATTCTCTTAGCAGTAGCCGTCACATTTTTTTTCAAATCTCATTTTTTTTTCCAAATCTCATTTTTCAAGTCGCCATGGCTTCCTCTTCAGATTCTTCCTTCAACACTGTGATCACGACGGCCGAGTCGATCACTGTTCTCAATGTCAATATGACAAACGTCACCAAACTCACTGATTTCAATTTTCTCATGTGGAGTCGTCAAGTTCACGCGATACTCGATGGCCATGGTCTCGCCGGATATGTTGATGGCTCCATCGTCGCACCACAACCTACCATCACCACAGATGGTACCACCACCGTTAACCGTGAGTTTACTAAATGGAAGAGACAAGATAAGCTCATCTACGGTGCCTTACTTGGTGCGATCTCCGTCAATGTCCAGCCAATTCTCTCTACGGTTGACACATCTGCTGCGGCTTGGGAGAAGCTCGTGGATACATACGCTAAGCCTAGCCGGACTCACATTCTCCAACTGCGACAACAAATCAAACACTGGAAGAAAGGTTCTATGTCGATCAGCGAGTACGTACGGGGCTTTACCACACGATTTGATCAGCTGGCGTTACTCGGTGCTCCCTACACTCACGAAGACCAGATTGACTTTGTTCTTGAGGGTCTCCCGGATGAATTTAGGCAGGTGCAGGACCAGATTGCAAGTCGTGAGAGAGCTCCATCGATCACGGAGCTTCACGAGAAGTTGATTAACCATGAGCTCAAACTTCAAGCACAGGCGCCCGTTGACTCTTCCTCTCTACCAATCACAGCAAATGCTGTTAACTATCGCGGCAACGGTGGCAACAAGAACAACAATGGCAACAACTATCGCCAACAGCAACAACGTTTTAACAACAAGCCGAACCAAACAAACCAACAATACCGACCACACAATGATCAGCAGTCGCGTGGCTATCAAGGTAAATGTCAAATTTGCGGTGTGTTTGGTCATAGTGCTCGCCGTTGTTCGCAGCGTCAATTCTCTGATGGTACTATGTCATCTCCGAGTCACTACTCACAGCCTCCCAACCAATACTCGCCGTCTCCTACTCCGTGGCAGCCCCGTGCTAACATGGCCATGGCGTCATCCTCATACAATCCAAATCCTTGGATTCTTGACAGTGGAGCAACTCATCATCTCACTACGGATTTGAATAATCTCGCTCTACATCAGCCTTACAATGGTGGAGAAGAAGTCACCATTGCTGATGGCTCTAGTCTTCCGATCTCGCACACTGGTTCATCTAATCTCTCTACCCCTACTCGTTCCCTATCCTTAACTGATATACTTTATGTGCCAAATATTCATAAAAACCTTATCTCTGTTTATCGCTTGTGTAATACTAATAGAGTATCTGTTGAATTCTTTCCTGCTCATTTTCAGGTGAAGGATCTCAGCACGGGGGCCCGATTACTCCAAGGCCGAACTAAGGATGAGCTTTACGAGTGGCCCGTCAACCCAAACACTCCCATCTCATTTTTCGTCTCTACAACTCCAAAAACATCTCTACCATCGTGGCATTCTCGACTTGGTCACCCGTCTTTTTCTATTTTGCAATCTCTTGTTTCTCAATTCTCTTTACCGCTTTCTCATTCTTCACAAAAACAGTTTCCTTGTTCTCATTGTTTCATCAATAAAAGCCATAAACTACCATTTTATTCAAACACAATTACTTCTCAAAAACCTCTTCAATACATTTATACTGATGTGTGGACGTCACCAATAATCTCTGTGGATAATTTCAAATATTATCTCATTCTTGTTGATCATTACACGCGATACACATGGTATTATCCGCTGCGACAGAAATCCCAAGTACGGGAGACGTTTATTGCGTTTAAGAGTCTGGTGGAAAATCGATTTCAATGCAAGATCCAAACACTCTATTCTGATAATGGTGGTGAGTTCGTTGCTATCCGACAAGTCCTAGCAGCTCATGGCATTTCCCATTTGACGTCACCTCCACATACACCGGAGCACAATGGCATTTCGGAACGCAAGCATCGTCATATTGTGGAGACTGGGCTCACTTTGCTCCATCAAGCTTCCATTCCAACGACGTATTGGACTTACGCATTTGCAACGGCGGTGTATCTTATCAATCGTCTACCAAGTCCGGTGATCAACAACACCTCTCCGTATACAAGGTTATTTCAACAACCACCAAATTATCTAAAACTCCGAGTGTTTGGGTGCTTGTGTTTTCCCTGGCTTCGCCCGTATACGAGTCATAAATTGGAGAGCCGCTCCTTGCCTTGTGCGTTTATAGGCTACTCCATCACTCAAAGCGCTTACTTGTGTCTTGATCAACAAACTGGCCGCATCTACACCTCTCGTCATGTCAGGTTTGTGGAAGATCATTTTCCGTTCTCGTCAGCCACCAATCAAACAGTCTCCTCACCCGAATCAGAAAATCTTTCATCTCCAAGTCACTCACATTCGACATACATTACACTTCCTCATCCGCCACTCGTAACAACTCCTTCGCCCCCGAGCACGGATCCTCACCCACCGCCACCGTCACCTGCTCCGGTCCCGGCGCCGGACTTCACTCTTGAGTCACCAAGGCGAGAATCATCTTCGTCTTTGTCACTCTCGGGTGAAGATGCAGGTTCAGGTAATGTTAATTTGGGCTCAGGAATTAATTCAATAAATACTCATGGTATTTCGCAGGCCCAAACGGATTCTCAGGCCCAACAGTCACCAAACCATTCAAACAGCCCAACCCGATCCAACAACTCTTCCTCCTCAAATCCAGCAGCTCCATCATCGTCATCTTCCTCCGAAAACCTGCAACCACACCCAAACTCACCGGAACCTGCATTCACAAATCAACACCCAATGAGAACCCGAGCCAAGAATCATATCACAAAGCCAAAACAAAAGCTCTCTCTCACAGCCACCAAAATCCCGACCAAACCTTATATACCTAATACCGTGAATCAGGCCTTGCGAGATCAGAAGTGGCGTGATGCGATGAGTGAAGAGATGAATGCCCAAATTCGCAACAATACATTCGAATTGGTGCCACCAAGTCCACACCAGAATGTCATAACCACAAAATGGATTTTTACTCTAAAGTATCTTCCTTCTGGTGTACTTGACAGGTATAAAGCTCGGTTGGTAGCGCGAGGCTTTAATCAACAATATGGGATCGACTATGCAGAAACATTCAGTCCCGTTGTCAAATCGCTTACAATTCGCCTAGTGCTACAACTTGCAGTCTCTCGTTCGTGGGATATCAAGCAATTGGACATTAACAATGCATTCCTTCAAGGAACTCTCACGGATGAGGTCTATGTTTCTCAACCACCCGGTTTCATTGACAAAGATCGTCCACATTATGTATGCAAGCTGAAGAAAGCTCTTTACGGATTGAAGCAAGCTCCGCGTGCGTGGTATCAAGAACTCAAGACTTTTCTTTGTACCACGGGGTTCTACAATTCACTCGCTGATACTTCGGTGTTTATTTATATTCAAGGAGCTGACATTGTCTACATTTTGGTATACGTTGACGATATTATCGTCACGGGTTCAAGACAAAGTCTCATCTCTCAATTCATCACCGCCTTGGCCAACCGGTTTTCGTTGAAGGATCCAAAGAATTTGTCTTATTTCTTGGGTATTGAAGCTACTCGGACAACACATGGCCTACATTTAATGCAGCGGAGGTATGTCATTGATTTGCTAGTCAAAACAAATATGATTGATGCCAATCCTGTTTCAACTCCAATGGCGCCAACTCCATCATTGACTCTAATGTCGGGAACGTTACTTGATGATCCCAAAGAGTATCGAACAGTGGTAGGCAGCCTTCAATATTTGGCTTTCACACGACCTGATATTGCGTACGTTGTCAATCGTTTGTCGCAATTCATGCATCGCCCCACCGATTTACATTGGAATGCGGTAAAACGTGTATTAAGATATCTTGCTGGAACAGCTTCTCATGGGATTTATCTCAATGCTGCTTCACCACTCACTCTTCATGCGTTCTCTGATGCGGATTGGGCACGTAATACCGATGATTTTGTCTCCACCAATGCTTATATCCTCTATCTTGGCAAATCACCAATCGCGTGGTCGTCAAAGAAACAAAAAGGTGTAGCTCGCTCCTCTACCGAGGCCGAATATCGCGCCGTCGCTAATACAGCTTCCGAGATCATATGGGTCTGTTCTCTTTTATCCGAGCTTGGTGTCATACTATCGTCTGTTCCAATCATCTATTGCGATAACATTGGCGCCACATATCTCAGCGCAAACCCGGTCTTCCACTCACGAATGAAGCACTTGGCGTTGGACTATCACTTCATTAGAGATAATGTCCAATCTGGAGCTTTACGGGTCGCTCATGTCTCTACCAAGGACCAGTTAGCGGACGCTCTTACGAAGCCCTTGGCACGATCTCGATTTCATGAACTATTTGACAAGATTGGAGTGACTAAACCCCCTCCATCTTGCGGGGGCGTGTAGAATGTGAATATGTAAAGGGTAGATTAGTCTTTGTTTAATCCCTAATTAGCTTATGAGTCTCCTTATATATAGTGTAACATGTACATCTAAATCAATAAGACATTCTCAAACCTATAATCTTCACGGGCGGGAATGGCAGCATTGATGGCACGGTTAGCAGCAGTCCATGCACTTGACTCAATTTCTATTACAACAAGCATAGTGAAAAAACCATTAAACTCGATCGTTTAACAAAAAGAGATGGTTCTATATCGTTTCTACTTAATAGGAGAATTGCGAATGGAGTGCAAAATAGGTAGATGATAAACTTGTAGGATGCAAACCAATGATCAGGGGCAATACCTTTCAAAACTGTATACTGGTTGCCAATGATCTTGATCACATCCATGACGTTTTTCTCGTAATAGTCTAGATAGAAACTTTTCAAAGGAGGTAAATCGGTATGAGGCTGAAATTTCCCTTGTTCACTTGTTTCATCATTCTACAAAAAATTCGAAGAAATTGATGAAAAATATATTATATAGAAAAACAATGTAACAGATGTTGAGATATGGTAATACCCTTTGGATCCAGAACCTAAGGGACATGTTAAAGATTGCAACCTCACTTAAGACTGCCAAGGGGTCAATCTTCTTTGACTCCGCAAGCGCACCATGAACACCTTGATAGAAACAATAATCAACAAGGTTTTTAATTAAGGGATCATGACATGCATACTAAAAGTTATAATCACTATATCATGATTTGTTTCCGACTAACATAGGTAAGCAATCCGAGGATCGGTGCGATATAAGGCATGGGCCACGCGAAGGATCGTTGTACACTTGGCATGAGACGATGGTACCATCTCACTGTTCGGTGGAAGACAAGTCTCGGTTGACATCTTCAAATCTAGGGTTTGTAGAAGGGAGGGTTTCTTCCTTCTCCTAACCTTTTGATCTTATTTGCTTTGGGATTGGCAAATCGGTATGTGGTTTTAGGGTTCTCACTTCTCACGAATATTGATCGACTCGTGTAATAAAAATAATTGCATACATAATATACGACTGACACACACATGTCAAAGGTTAATTATGCCGACTATAAAAATAAAAATAAATAAAAAATGACAAATGTACCCCCGTAAAACCTACAAGTGTGAATAAATCTGATCGGCCTTCTTTTTCCAGATTTTTCTGTAGATTTAGTTATGGCACATGGAACAAAGGAGATCATAGGAAGCTTGGGGTTTGTCTATAGTATTGGTTTCTATTAATAGGATACTGGCAAATTAAGATGCGTGTTGGTGTCTTCCCGATAGAAGAATGCTTCCTAGTTAGTTACTTTATATCTTGGGGACTAATTAGGCTTATGGATTGGTTATAGCTCCTCTATTTGTTATACACTTATACTAGTTTTATATGGAAACTACTGTTTTGTGAACTTCTAGTTAAGTTAAGTTTTGAATCCTTAGGAACTATTTGTTATTCACACTTGTTTTATAGGTTAAAATTTATCCACATCATAAGTGGATTTAAAGACTCGAATCTTTTCCGATTACCTCACATAGAAACTCATTATCGAAAAGTAAACCAATCTTTTTATAAAACAACAATAATATGTAAGCAATTAAATCAGTTGTATCAAATTAATATATAGTGATTTGTATATATGTCAAACAAAACAAACACACAAATAAAAAGTGGTCAATATATCTTTCACTCAAGCAAAGCTTTTTACCACAAAGATGTGAGAAACCTGTAGCCTCTGCTAAAATCTTGGTTGAATAGTATCCTTGTTTGAATTTCCGACATGAAGGAGAACCATGCCATCAATGCCACCAGAGCAAACAACAAGAAGCCCATGAGCATGTCATACGCCCAAGCCAATGTCCTCATGAATGACCAGAGGCCTAGTCGTTGACTTAATGGCTAATTACATAAACAAATAGTGAAATTAAAATTGGGTATATTGCTAATTGTAAATAGTAAATATACTAGTTTACTGAAGTTTTTAAAATTGACTATTGTTCAACTTGACCCTATTTTCAGTTAGTTCTCCAAATACTTTATAGTTTATTATATTAGTGTTATCTTCTTGAGATATTCTTTTTAGTCCATTCACTTTCTCTCAATGTCGATATTAAGATTTTATTTTATTTGTTTTGAATTAATTAAACAATAATTTTTGTATACATATAATATAAAACAATCTATAAATATTTAATATTTAAAATAAAATTATATCAAAATAGTGTGCCTCATTAAAAAAAATTCTTGGATTCGCCAGTGCTTACAAGTAAAATTCCCCATCCAGTTGAGATGATCGCGAGTACGCAGAAGAAGATTTCGTTCAAAGACATTATACTCAAAGCAGACATGATGAGGAGAGACTCACAAAAAATACAATGAGCTTGACAGTCCTAGAAGCCCTCAAGGAGTGCATTCCGCAAATACTACTTATCTATAAAAGCTAAAACAATCAAAGTTTATTATTCTCAGCATATGAAGAATTCAGAATGTGAACTTTTTATCACATTTCAATACCACCAAAAGGAGCATAATAATCAATATAACCAACAGTACTTAAGCTAGAAAGAAACAAGGTATAAAAACAGTTAGCATAAATCAAGAGACATGAAATGACGAAATGAAAGTTTAAATGAGAAGCAACATACCCAAATACTGTGATTATCTTTAAAGGAGGTGAGCTGATACATAAGCCCGTATTGAATGATGAAGAAATGTGATGCTAAAATGATTTCAAATTTTGAACCAAAAGTCCCCGAGTGTCGAAAATGTTGAGGTTCTTTCTCCCACCAAGACTCCCGAGACTTTTCAGGATCAACACTCATTGCATCAGACTGGTGTTAATAAATCCACTTCGTCTAGTCTTTCCAACCTTCCACAATTTTGTGCAATTCGAAACCAGGAAGGTTGAACAAGAAAAGAGCAAAAAAGCCATGAACACACCATGAACCACATCGACTAGGTAATCAGAAAATGTGTTGCTCCAAACATGTGGTACACGAGTAAGAGGATCGCTAGCTCAAAAGCTTTCACGAAGTGACTACGAGAATAAAATTGTAATGAAAAACATTTGTATTTAAATTGTGTGGTATTTGTTTCTTTTGGTTGAATTATAAATGAAAAACATTTCTTATTTCTTACTCTTTATACTTTTAACCAAAATATCTAATTAAACGGGATAGAGGGAGTACTTCTCATTTTTTATGATTAAGAACCATCATGTTAATAGTACATTACATTGTAATGAGCATTATTTTGTGTAATTTATTTATGACCATAACTTAAATAGAGTACTTAATGATCATTACATAGATAAACTAATGATAAGAGAATTAAAAGTTGAAAAAAGAGCTTAGAGAACTATATGAAAACAAGGTAATGAACAAATATTTTATGACAATTTTTCTACTCTTAGCTGTTCATCTAAACAAACCGAATTTATAACAATAAAATGTACTAAAAAAATTCCTTTGAAATTGCTTAAAATTTGCTTAAAAAATCTTTAATAAATGTGAAATCTGTAAACATCTGCTAAAGTCTTGGTTAAATAGTTTTTTGTTTGGATATTTTGTGCATCTTGTTGTGTAATCTTATCTTATTCGGTTAAAAGGTTCAAACTTTGTTAGTTCAACTTCTCTAGCTGCGTTATCTCTTGTTAGAAAAGTTTAATTTTGAGATAGAATTGAGCTATTCTGGATTGGACAATGTTTATGAAGTTTCAAATTTTAGAAGTTTTTTTCTAGCAAAAATAAAAACCATAGCACTTTACAGAGCTTTGCAAGAGGTAACTTTATTAATGTGTAGCTTTAGTTTGATTTAGGCTTGGGTTTTATCACCATCTGAAATCCTAGTTTATGCTTATATGTTATACTAGTTTCTATATTTAGTTAGGTGTGTATGTGTATCTATGTTCTATTGATTTAGATATCAAGAGGGTTTATTTGTTTGTGGATTTTACATCACATTTGATGTTATATATCATCCAATTGTTGATGAACTACATTGAATGATTATATTTATATATGATGCACTATTCTTGGGAAAAGATAATGTTATGTTCCTTTCATCTTTGTGCTTAAAACGGATTTAGAGGGTTGCGAGAGTTTGTTTACGTATTCAAATCTCTATGGCAGAGCGATTTCAATACATCTGCTTAATCCTCATTAGGTTTCAATAAATGTTTATGGTTATTGTTATTGAAGGTCAATTGAGTTTGCTATTTCGAACTGCCAAATTAACTAACAAGTGCGTACATGACCATGACCGAGTTACAAGAAGATGATTCTTTGGGATTTTGATCTTAGGCTGTGTCAAGTATGCTCAGAAGAAACATCTGAAATCATTTTCTTGATAACTCTCTTGCATTGCTATTCACTGCTTAATTATGTTAAATTGTTGACATTCTTTTTTTTTTTTTTTTTGAATATCTGGAAGTTCAAGCCCAAAGACCCTACATCTTCCAGAGGCGGGACCCACACCTGGTTGAATTCATCACCTTTGGAGAAGAGATCCCTTCCAACGGGCGTCGAACCTAGTACATCCACTTGGGAGATTTACCATTGGGCCAACACAATTGTTGACATTCTTACATCTAACCTCATTGAAGTTAGTTCACTCTTTCTTTATGTCTCTCTTTTTATGACACTCTGAGACTTGTTCTTGCTTAGAGAGAAACACAAGAACACGTTTTACTCTTTAATTGTTTACATTGATAATATTGGATCAAAGGATAATTCTTATAAGACACAACACACATACTTATACTACTTCTTCTACTTGACACACACTTGCACACTTGCACTTAGACCTAATCAATCAGGACTCTTACACACTAGACCATACTCATAGGTTCTAACACTTACATCATACTTTAGACCATGCTTCTACTAACAACTTTCCTTAGAGTCTAACAACTTTACTTGGTCATTTGCCAAGCTTTATACAACAAAACACACTTTCTCTTGGGCCTCACTAATCCGCAGCCCATTAGTCTTCTTAGGACAAAAGTAAAACACTTCAAGCCCAACCTTCTTTTGTTCACTTGTGTATTCTTCTTCATGTGTCGTTGACCTTATTGTCACGACACATTCTTCTTCCTTTTCTTGAACCTTTCTTCTTGTAGGATTTAAGCTAGGATTCACAATTCCAACATAAATCCTTCTTATTTCACAAGCACCTTTCATGAAACCAGGTCATAATCATCACGCCATGGAAGCATGCAACCGACATGGTTATCTGAGACATGTGCCAACAAACTCCTTTGTTCTGCTTTGCACCTCCTTCTTTGGCATTATTTCTTCTGATCATGTAACTGTTCATATATCATATATTCCCATGTATCATTTATAAAAATATTGAAGGATTATTTGGTCAATATCTTTCTTCTAAAACGTGGACTCATAGTTATTTCTAATAAAAACAAATTTCATTTTTTAATTCTTTTTGAATCAAATGTTAGTTATTATAATAATTTTATTTTTTAACATTTGTAATAAATATAGATATTCTCCACTCTTTACGGAGAGATGTGTCTGATGGTCCCTTCAGTGGATATGGCTACTCTAGGTCAGTGATTTAATTTCATCACTATTAGCTGCGGGGTGGAAAGGATGGTTGACTTGACTCGGTGGTCTACTAAATGACAGCAAACGGAAGAGAAAGAAAATGTGAGACGTCTAAGAAGAATTTGGTCAAGGAAGGGATTGCCATGAAAGATAACTTGGAGAGACAACACGAGAATGTTCGAAGGCGAATTTCACTATGACATTTGGTTAGAAGACTAAGAAGATGATGTTATGTTTCAATTTTAATCTAAAATGTATTAATTTTATCTTCAGAATTATAAAATCGAGAGAGTGTTCAAATCGAGAGAGTGTTCAGTTTTATCTTTTCCCAAGGATTAAATTAATAGTCAAGAGATAAGAACTTTTTTTTTTATTATTGTTTAAGAGGAATGGATTAACTTATTTATTAAAAAGAGACGGAAAAACTAAAATATTTATTTTTTGTTCAGTTTTATATTTTCCCAAGGATTAAAGTAATAGTGCTTATTTTATTTTCTTTTGTCTATGAAAATTAACTTATTTATTAAAATAGGAAAGAAAACACTAAAATATTTCGTTTTTACCAAAAAAAAAAACAAAAACTAAAATATTTTTCCATGATCCTGTTGTATGTATGTCCCAGAGGATTAAAAGGCAAAGAAGGAAGAGAAGAAGAAGAGACGAGAGCAGTCAAGATGGCCTCTCACTCTCAGGTCAGTTTTCTCTTCTTTATTGCGACGACCATCACTTCTTCTCTCTCTGAATGAATTTGATCACAGGTTTTAGTGGAAGAGAAATCAAGTGTTAGAATCTTGACATTAAACAGACCGAGTCAACTGAATGCTCTGTGCTTAGACATGGTATGGAATCGTTCCCTTGTTGTTTCTTCTTCCATTTTGTTGAGCACTAGTTACATAATTGGCTTGAATCATTCTCTAGATCTCTCGGTTGCTACAACTGTTCCTTGCATATGAGGAGGACCCTAGTGTGAAACTTGTCATCCTTAAAGGACAGGGAAGAGCCTTTTGTGCTGGTGGCGACGCTCTACCTCTTGTTCGTGACATTGTACAAGGTATATATCAATAACTTTCTTTTTTTCCTTTTTGCTTACTTTCAGCTTATACAAATTCTTTTCCTATTTTCGTGGACTAGGCAAATGGAGACTCGCTGCCAATTTCGTAACATATCAATACACTCTTAACTATGTTTTGGCCACGTATAGCAAACCTCAGGTCTTAGCATGAATACTTCCCTTTTAGTGAATTACTCATAGTGTATAATTCGCTTATTAATTCGTTTTAAAACTATAGGTTTCGATTTTGAATGGTATTGTCATGGGAGGTGGAGCTGGTCTCTCTATCCATGGTCGATTTCGTATTGCAACTGAAAACACGGTATTCTTTTCTTATACATGTCCATGGATAACAAATAGAGATGGCTATGAAATATGCTTATATATCATTACATATGTTTTGAACTTCCTAAAGGTTTTTGCAATGCCTGAGACAGCTTTGGGACTCTTTCCAGATGTAGGCGCCTCCTACTTCTTGTCAAGACTCCCTGGATTTTTTGGTAATAAAATTGTATTTTGCCTTAAAGCTGGCAAAGCCCATGTTTTTAGGCATCATATATATCATCATTGTAAACAACTACCAAATTTTAAGCTGCCAAAGAAAAAGAGTTCAAAAAAAAAACTACCAAAGTTTTTAATCTTTACCAAGTTTGATCATTGAATAATCGTCTTCTAACTCTATTTCGGAATTGTTTTCTTCCTCTCTTGGAGAATCCGCCGAGTTGATTAATTAAAAACATGAGACTATTGTTTTAAATTAGGATGGGGTCTTATTGCTGCAATGATTTCTATAACTATAGTTTTTTACAGTTTTGTTTTATATGGACTCCTTAATTTAAGTATAATACTTGTAAAAGTGCAACTGATCAAACTTTTAATTCTTCCTAAAACATAAACTAATATTATGTCCTAAAATTGTAGAAAATTGTTTTTTTTTGTTTGAGTTTGTTATCTACTCAGTTTCTGAATAAAATTTTTATGCATTAGCTAGCTCATCTTTATCTTCATGGCCGTCCCTGAATTTAGCATGTCCACAAATTTTTCTATCACCCTCTCTCATAGTCTTGTCTTCTTATGTAGGAGAGTATGTTGGCCTCACTGGAGCTAGGTTAGATGGGGCTGAAATGCTTGCGAGTGGTCTTGCAACTCATTTTGTGCCTTCAACGGTACGAACTTCTTTTTCTTACGTATTTAATTAGTGTCCCCATTGCCAGCAATCATGGCATTGTTTTTTTCTGGAACTAATGGTCCGTGATGCAAAAAAAATCGTTTGAGGTTTCTTTGTCGTGTCTTGCACTATAGACTTTTTCATATAGCTATTATTAAGCAATATTTGATTCGCCAAGGATCGTTACTTAGTAAGGTTACTACTTTTCACAGAGGTTGACTGCACTAGAAGAAGATCTTTGCAAAGTTGGTACAAGTGATCCAAGCTTTGTCTCAACAATTCTTGATGCATACACTCAGCATCCCCACCTTAAACAGAAGAGTGCTTACCTCAGGCAAGTGTATATGATTTAGTCTCTTTTATTTTTTCTACATGTACTTGTGCTTGCCGAATATTGTTTGCCATGCCAACATATCGCATTTTTCTCTGTTATTATCATGATTACATTACATGTTTTATAAAGTTCAACGTTGTACTAGTGGATCATCTTTCAGTCGCTCTTTGCATGATCCATGTCTTCAGTGAAAAATTGGTGTCAGCTATTTCTTATCTTTCCGTTTGTTGTTTAACGCAGGTTAGATGTTATTGATAGGTGCTTCTCAAGAAGAACAGTCGAAGAAATTCTATCTGCACTTGTATGTTTTTCCATTAATAATATATAGGATATATTCACTTACGATCCTAAGTTACATTTGACAATGCACTCTACCATATATAGGAGAGAGAGACCACTCAGGAACCAAATGATTGGATCTCAACCATCATTGGGGCATTGAAGAAGGCTTCACCATCAAGCCTTAAAATATCTCTTAGATCGGTTAGTTCCAGAATGTACGTGTCACATGTAATGATGGGAAAGAGCTAACTATGTGTATAAATTTCAGATAAGAGAAGGAAGATTGCAAGGCGTTGGGGAGTGTCTTATCCGTGAGTATAGAATGGCGTGTCATGTGTTCAAGGGAGAAATAAGCAAAGACTTTGTGGAGGTTTTGTTAGCTTTCTCGATTGTATAATCCTCATAAAATTGTCCTTGTTGTCAACATAATTACAACAGCGTGTCTTACTTATGTAGGGGTGCAGAGCGATACTGATAGACAAAGATAGGAACCCAAAGGTATAACAAAGCTTTCCATTTAGTTTTTTTTTTAATCTATATATAGTTGATATAAGGCCGTACTATCATAAAAACTTGAAACTATATATAGTGGGAGCCAAGGCGACTAGAGGACATGAAGGATGGCATGGTAGATAAGTACTTTGAGAAAGTGGAGGAAGAGGAGGGATGGGAGGATTTAAAGCTTTTGCCAAGGAACAACTTACATGCTTCAGCAATGGCCACACCAAAGCTGTGAAGTGGAGAAGCAATTGGTGAGACATTAACAATGACCAACCTGAAATACCAAGATTATGTGTTTGAACAACAATTCTTTTATAATATTCTTCATGTGTTCTGTTATAGAAAATAAAAAAGAGGTGTTTTGTTTCCTCTTTTGTTATATCTCGTTTCCAGTTTTTCCCCTTATGGAATTTTCTTCCATATATGTAGGTCCAGATATCCTATTTAATTGGAAAGAAATTAGAAATAATCAAATAAAGGCAAAGAAATTTGCCTAAAGAAATCTTGTTTTCTATTTCTTATACATGCTTTGATTGAGGGCTCTATTAAGCCGGATCAGACATCAGAGTATTCATTTCCTTCTTGATCCGAACCACTTTGTGGTATCAAAAGTTCAAAACCATCCACGTTCATTTATCAATCATATAAAACTAAACTTCTATAAATTAACAATATCGGGACCATAAAATTCTATTAATTTTAAAATAAATTATAAATTATAAATTATTAATTTATCGATAAATTAAAAAAATATTAATATCTAAACAAACAAAGATATTTGTCTATTTTCATATTCTTTGAAAATTTTCTATTTTAAAATAAGAAGCTTTGTTATAAAATATATATTTTTAATTGCCTTTATTTATATAGTTCCTTATAGTTAGAGATGAGCTCAACCAAAAATGCAAATTCAATAATAAACCGACAATATTAGAGTTATATTTCATTAAAAAAAATTAAATACATATATATATAGTTTATATAATTATTAATTTATAATATTGATGAGATCATATGTTTACATTATAAGGTCTTCAAAAGATTTCTTATTTTATTGTTTTATCGAATTTTGTTATTTTTTACATTAACCCAATTCGAAAACGGAAGAATTTATTAATTTATAGTAGTCATCAATTTATGAAATATTAATTTATTGAGATTTTAATGTATTTTGGCATTGACCAGACAAGTAGACAACGATCTTCAGTACCAATACTACCAAACTGTACCTATATAGTGGATACAAGATCCAGTTCCAAAGCTTCGAAGCTTTCTTTTATTGATTCAAATATAAGCAAACAAAGAGATGATTATATTATGATGAACTGTATCGAATACAGAGAAATTGTGTGGTAACTTGCTAGGGTTTTTGCGTACAAAGAAGGTGTTCACTAAGACGTTAAATTGTTTTAATAATGTCGATTTATCCGTTTTCAACATAATTCTCGGATGAGTCTCCATTGATTCGTCCGTTTGATTTTTTTTATGGTCGAACCTATGGGTCTTTGGAAGTCATCAGCCTATATGTTAGAAAGGCCCAAATGTTTCGTGATATGTTTCTCTTAACCTACCTTCTCAAATGACCTCTATCGAAATGGGGTATAGTCTTGTCATTGGGATTTAGACCTTTCATACTAAAAACCCAAAATTATATTCAAGAATTTTAATATTCCAACTAGAAGATCAATCATCATAGATTATAAACATTTTAAATAACAAGATAGACGAATTTTTCAGATTTCTAAAATTAATCTGGATTTTTGTGTTAAATCATCGGCCGGCTAACTATAAAATAAATTATTTTGTTAAAGAACCTCAAAAGAATATTAGCAAAATAATTATCAAAACTGTAGTATTAATTATTAAAAAGATCGAGTGGCATCGTCATACACGGAACGTAAGTACGTAACCTTTGGCATTATACACGGATTTTTCCAGTCTTTGTTTTCTGTTTGTCAACTTTCATTTGAGTCTTCGTTTATACTTTTTCGACCATGCATGCATGTTGCTAATCTATGCTTAAGTCGTCATTAAATATTTTGTTTACTCTCATCTTTCTTTACGTAGAAGTTGTCGCATTCTTTCACTAATTTGATTCTTTCGCCATTACTTTAATCCCTCCTGCAATTTTGTGTACATTTTTCTTTATTTTCCATGTACGCACCTAACCTATGTACCAATTTGGCTTCTAACCTATCATCTATATACACACCTACCTAACCTATGTATTAATTGTTTTGGAAAATGGTGTCGTGCAGATAATACTATTTATAACCTATAAATTTTTTGGAGTAAGATATATGATTTATCACGTTGATAGCATTGTACAAAAAAACATTAACATAATAAAGGATTATTTGTTATGTGTTTTACAATATGTGTATTGCGAGGATGATGAACGTATTTATATCTTTTGGAGATGGAGAATATCTATAGTTTTTGACTTTGTAAAGCAAAATCGAGGATTTAATAAGTGGTAAATGATGTATTTACAAAATTACGTAAATAAATTAAACATATTGAAGTTTATAGGAGTGATATAATATAATTTTATTAGAAAATATCAACTTTCTTGGGACGAATAATAGGAATGGAGGTTATTAGAAAATAAATATAGATTTTTTTGGAACAAAAAGTTGAGTTGTATCTAAAAATAATAGGAATGGGGGTTTTTTGGGACCAATTTATCTTTTAATGAAAAATTCATTTTACGTTTGTGAAATATACTTAATTTATCTTTATACAATTGTCATTTACGTATTTTTAATCTAAATGTTTTCCATTTACGTAATTCACATTTTTCTTTAATTAATGCCCCCACTCTCCGAAAGGTCATTAGCTAGTAATAATATATCTAATTTGCCTCTATATATGTTATGTGGTATCTCTAGTCATTGCTACCCACAGCCAAACAAAAAATGGATCAAAGATGGAGTCTTCAGGGTATGACTGCTCTTGTAACTGGTGGAGCCAGCGGAATCGGGTTGGTCTTTCTACTCTCTAGCTATATCCTAATTTTTACCCATTTTCTGGATTTATTTAAGACGTCGTTATATATGTCTCTTTGTGTGAAATGATTTAGGCATGCTATAGTAGAGGAGCTAGCCGGTCTTGGAGCTAGAATCCATGTATGCGATATATCTGAAAAAATGCTTAATCAAAGTTTAAGCGAATGGGAAAAGAAAGGGTTTCAAGTAAGTGGTTCAATCTGTGATGTATCCTCTCATTCTGAGAGGGAAACACTTATGCAAACCGTCTCAACAATGTTTGATGGCAAGCTGAACATTCTTGTAAGTTAATCTTACTTTAAAGAAACTAAGCATATTCTCATAGGGGAAATATACGAATTAAGTAATGCATATATATAGTATGATTTTTGTAACTCATTTTTGTTCAACATAGGTAAACAACGTTGGCGTAGTTAATACAAAGCCAACAATAGAATATGTGGCTCACGATTTCTCGTTCCATATTTCAACAAACTTGGAATCTGCTTATCACCTTAGCCAACTTTCACATCCTCTCCTAAAAGCTTCTCAATTTGGAAGCATCGTCTTTATTTCCTCTGTTGGAGGAGTTGTATCAATGGAGTGTGGATCTATCTATAGTTTAACGAAAGGTACATAGACTGACTATTCATCAATAGAGAGATTTTCAATTACACTACATCCAACGGTGAACTGATTGTCTTTTTTTTTTAATGTAAAAATGAGGTTAACTGATTGTCCTAATAAGCTAATACATTCATTTCAATAAAGGTCTAATTTCTTTGGATTCCTAATAGATGTCACGTAGTTTATCTTTTTCGTTGTGTGTATATGCAGGAGCTTTGAATCAACTAGCAAAAACTTTGGCATGTGAATGGGCAAGAGATGGCATAAGAACCAACTCTGTTGCTCCTAATTTTATCCATACTGCTATGGCTCAACTTGTACGTAATCATCAATGACACCCTCTGGCTTCTTTTTTTTTTTATTAATTATTTTCCAATTACCATCATGCACTTCTCATTCTTATTTCATAAAATCTTGTGAATAATCAGTTTTTCAAAGACGCCGATTATGAGAAGAGTTTGGTTAGTAGAACTCCACTTGGTCGCGCTGGGGAGCCAAAAGAGGTTGCATCACTTGTGGCTTTTCTGTGTCTACCTGCAGCTTCATATATTACTGGTCAGACCATTTGTGTTGATGGAGGTCTCACTGTCAACGGTTTCTCCTATAAGCCACAGGCCTGAGATGAGACTTGTGTGTGTTGGTGATGCATCATATATGTCTATTTCCTTTTGGTGTTGGGTTTTGTTTTATGTTTGTCTTTTGATTTATTTGTTTTTGGTTATGAATATCCATAAGTAATCCTACTTCCGTTTTGCTTCGGTGTTTTGTCCTCAGTTTGTGTTTTGTTTCTAGCTTTTGATCATTAATAAAACCCAAAAGGAGGAAACTCTACTTTCCCATAACGTTTGGCCATCTTTGAGACTTCAACAGATTTGCGAGAGCTTGGTTAACGGAATTCTTAGCATTCAACATTATTTACGCGATATCCATCCTTCTTCTCTAATAGTTATATCATAACCAAGTTGGTCCCTCAGTTTATCATGTTGCTCTCGTGTTACGTACTATCACATGGACGAATATTCATTTTTTTGTTGCTAAACTGTAAATCTCATTAAAATGAACTTTCAGGTTTTTACACAATGGTTAGAACCTATAACATTTTAAAACCTTGGCACAAAAAATAATATGTTGGCCTCCCCGGAGCTAGGTTAGATGGCCCCGATATGCTTGTTTGTGGTCTTGCATTTCATCTTGTGCTGTCAATGGTATGGATCGGATATCCTTTTCGCCTTTAGTATATAATATATATTCCCAATACCGTGTCGTTTTGAGGGCTAGGATGGTTTTAAAATGTATGGCTCTTATAATAGTCTATTTTAAAATATCATAATATATGTTGTCTTTAATGAAATCCAAAAATATGATAAGTTTACATTATAGTTTTTACTTAAAACGTCAACGTAATTTTTTAAGATTCTTGGTTTTGGTAATTCTCTCCTATTAGAGTAGGCACGGCACTGCGTTAAACTATAGATAACAACATGACATTATACCAAAAAAGAGAAAGCCATCTTTTTTTTTGGAATTAATGGACTATGCTAGCTAGTGGTGCAAAACTTTGTGGGTTTTGATGAACCGACACAGTTCTAAATTTTAAAATTCAGAATATTTCATTACCTTTATGAATTCGGGATATTCCATCATGTATTTATCTTTATGAATTCGGGAATTATCGTCATGCAGCGTGAAGCACAACAAGTTTTAGAGTTTGGTATGTTGATGACAAGCTATGTCAAGGTTTTTCTTCTAGCAACACGTGGGAGATACTTCGACCTAGAGATGCAGAGAAAGACTGGGCTCCTTTGGTTTGGTTTAAAGGCTCTACACCAAAGCATGCTGTCCACTTGTGGGTAACAAACCTAAACAGGCTGCCCACCAGATCACGGCTGGCTTCTTGGGGACTGCAAATATCCACTGATTGTTGTCTTTGTGTTGGGTCGGTGGAAACAAGAGACCACCTCTTTCTTCATTGCCCTTTTGCACATGTTCTCTGGAGCTCAGGCTTTGCGAAGCTGAGGCTTCCACCAATGGTTTTTGCTGACTGGTCCGGGCTGATGTCTTGGGCTAAAGGGAGCACAACTGCGACACCAAGTACGCTTCGGCTACTACTAATTCACGCGATTGTCTACGCATTATGGCGGCAGAGAAACAATCTCATCCACAACCAAATTGCAGTCCCGCCGCTTAATATCTTTAAGGAAATTGACCGGCTCATCATCAACTCTATTACTGCCAGGAGAAAGATGAAGAATTTCAGAAAGCTCATGGCTCTATGGCTAAATTAAGGATCTGTTTCTTCCCTTAATTGATATTGTGTAGTCTTAAATGTTTCCTTGTTTTTTATCTTTTTTTGGCAAGGTTCATCTTTCTAGGTCTTATATTTTGTAACACCAAAACTTTCATCTATTGATATTTACTCTCTTAGCAAAAAAAAAAAAAGTTTTAGAGTTTGGAAGTCATAATAAAACTTGGTTCCGAGACCATGAGCAGTTTAAGATTTTTAAATATTCAATCTTGTATTTCACAAACCCTTTAGGTCAAATATCTATACATGTCTAGACTTAATTAATATATCTAATACAACAAGGAATTATGTACTAATCTAAAAATAAAAGTATAAAATTTAGAGATAAAATATATCTCAATAAATACTTTGTAAGAAATTCATCGTCTGATTGGCAACTTCTTGTCAAGGTTTGTTTGTGTTTTTTTTCTGTCGTGTCTTGCACTATGTTAATCATCAATCTAAAAAAAAGAAACATAAATCTTTTATAGAAATATGTGTCGTAAGCCCCTTATACGCAGTCCTTCATACCATTCCAAATTTGTTTGACTAATATTGTTATAGTGCAAAAATGTATAACTAAAACCCGACGAAACTGATACATATAATTAATATTGACTCGATTTGTTGCTTTAAACTATTAGTTTTGATTGATTATACATGTATACCAAAATTGCTAAAACAAATTTTAGTCAAACAAGAAAAAGATTTACGGGGATGATTGATTAAAAACTGTCAATTTTGGTTATAAAGATTTTAGTTGTAGGAATTTTTACTTTAAAATTAACTGTATATAAATTTTGCTATTAAAATATGACTGGTAACAAAAAATCTTTAAAAACGGTGACGTTTATTTTTGTTATTATTGAATATTTTTATAATTATAAAATATGCTAAAAATGAAATTCATGTGACAACATAGTGACAAAAATAAATTTTATTGAAAATAAAACTTTAGAAATATACAAAATTTTACTAATAAATGAATAGATAAGTATTCTCAAGAACATGGTGATGATGAGAAGAAAATGATTATGAGAATAAATAGATCTAAAAAATGATATAAATAATTTATCAAAAATATTATATGATAAAATATATATAAATTTGTAGAGAGTTTTCAATTATTTTGGGGTAAAGAAAAAAAAATTTCTAAGAATTTTTTCTAATGGTGCTCACCAAAAAAAAGAATTTTTTTCTAATGGTGTGATTTTGAGATTTTTTATATAAAAAAAAAAACAGAAAAAGAAAGTGGATTTGAAAACTTTGAAAAAAAAAAGTAGAAAAAAAGCTGATTGGTAGAAACTAAAACTTTAAGACGTTAAAATACTCCAAAAATTTTTAAAATAATGAGTCAATTACCTCTTAAATAAAATATGTTCATCCTCTGCATGTCAATCATTCACAGCCAAGATAATCGATAAACTATTATACAAGTTGTTTTAAAGTTAAACAAAAATGTAAAAAAGAAGAAAATTAATTAATATTGACTCGCTTTGTACAAGAATTATGTTTGGTATTTTTCCTTAAAATATTATTTCAGTTTACAATGAATATATAAGCGTGAAACTGTTACACAAGTTGTTTTAAAGGTAACTGGAACAAGAGACAGAAATGAAAGACTTCAATGTTTTTTTTTGGTTAAAATTAATGACTTTACACAATCTGATGTCACTTACGGATTTGTTCCAGTCTTTGTTTTCTGTTTGTCAACTTTCATTTGAGTCTTCGTTTATACTTTTTCGACCATGCATGTTGGCTGTTGCTAATCTATGCTTAAGTTGTCAATAAATATTTTGTTTACTCTCATCTTTCTTTACGTAGAAGTTGTCGCATTCTTTCACTTATTTGATTCTTCCGCTATTACTTTAATCCCACATGCAATTTTGTGTACATTTTTCTTTAGTTTCCATGTTCGCACACCTAACCTATATATGTACCAATTTGGCTTCTAATCTATCATCTATATACACACCTCTAACCTATGTATTAATTGTTTTGGAAAATGGTGTCGTGCAGATAATACTATTAATAACCTATAAATTGTTAGGAGTAAGATATACAGTATGATTTATCACGTAACTTAGATGATAGCATTGTACAAAAAAAACATTAACATAATATAGGATGAGAAATTCCTAAAAATGGCCCTAAAACAAGTTTTATTGATAATAATAGCACAAACTCCATAAACTTCCAAAAATAGCACTAGTTAACTTACTATTAGTGTTTTTGTTCTAAAAATTTTATCACTAGCTTTTTTTTTCAATAATACCACAACTTTTATATAAAAGCTATTCAACAAAATAAATTAGAAATAAATTTAAAATATTATATTTGCATTCTCTATTTCCAATTTAGGGTATATATTTCTACCATTTAAAAGAGATTTTGATTCATTTTAATATTAGTTTATGGTATTATATTTGGGTTCCCTATTTCCAATTTAGGGTATATATTTTCACCATTTAAAAGAGATTTTTATTTTAATATTAGTTTGTGGTATTATATTTGGGTTCCCTATTTCCAAATTAGGGTATATATTTCCGCTATTTAAAACAATTTAGATTCAATTTAATATTAGATTAGTGTTTGCTCTCTTTTTTATTTTCTATCTTATATTTTCATTAAGTTTAATTGAAGTTTATGGTGCTATTTGTGGAACTTTTCAAATGGGGTGCTATTTTTGGAAAAAACAACTTTTTGGGGGCTATTTGTGTCAATCTCCCATAAGAAATTATTAATTATGTATTTTGCAATGTGAATTGCGTGGATGATGAACGTATTTATATATTTAATTTAGTCAATTAACATGTGTAAAAGTTTATATATGTTCGAAAGATATATTTTGGAGATAGAGAATATATATAATTTTTGTGCAAAATCGAGGATTTAAAAAATGGAAAATGATGTATTTACAAAATTGCGTTTATAAATTAAACATATTGAAGTTTATAGGCGTGATATAATAAAATTTTATTAGAAAATATTAAATTTTTTGGGGACCAATAATAGGAATGGAGGTTATTGCAAAATATATCGGCGTTTAATACCTTCAATTTTTTGGTTGGGACAAAAATACCTCGTTTAATTATTCGTAGTCTTAAAATACCTTATATATAAAATATTGGTGGAATCGAATCCGCAACTTAACAGCCACTAACAGATGTTACAGAATCATTTAATGATGTTAAAAGATTGTATAAAATATGGATTAAATTTAACGCCGTTAATTGATTCTGTAACGCCCGTTTACGGCTGTTAAGTTGCGGGCCGTTCGATTCTACCAATAACTTTATATGAGGTATTTTAAGACTACAATGAAAGCATTAAACGTTCAAATAAAAAATAGATGGATGTTTTTCGGGCGTTTCCCTTTTTTGTGATAAAAAGTTGAGTTGTATCTTTTTTTTGTCAACAGCTTTTAATTAAAAATTCAAAAGAACCATTCCTGAGGAATGTTGTTTACATATGTGATGTGATGCGGTTCGGTGCGAACTTTTCGCGCCAAATTATCCGCTTTTACATTTGCACTTCGAG